TTTATTGCAAAAATGCATAATTAGAAAAGAAATACATTGACTTTAATTTTCAAAAAAGTTAAATAAAACTACAAACGATAATAATATAGTAGGCAAATATTAAGTAGTCTAAAAGTAAGGTTAGAAGTGCAAGTAACTTTCTGCGACAACTGCGGTCACAAATGTTATCATAACATAGTAAAATTGTAATTTGGGTATATTTTACCTGTTTTCCACTCCAAATAAATAAAAAAAGTAATGTTTATCATAGTTATTGACTTTTATGCTTTCAAATGAGGGTACTTATAGCTTGATTATTTAAAAACCCATTTTGAAAATTAAGATTATCATGGTGATAGCCACTTAAAGAACTGATACTGTCTACATGGGAAAAATTATAAAATAATTGCATGATAAAAACTAACTTGTTCAACTCTGTCCATTTCAGAGCAACCGATACAGTAGTGACTATTAATTGGATATTAATCGGAGAGTAATTTGAATATTTTTGCTTACTTTCTCTTTCGTGAATGTTTCACCAAAACATATCCATTCACTACTCCATGTAGTAGGATTTTCAAAGATCAGTGAAGAGTGAGGAGAGAACAATAACAATTCAAATTGTGTTCATATTCCAGAACTATGGAAAAAGTTAATCTGTATGCACTTGAGAATTAATTGAACTCTACCATAGCTAATCATCCATAGCAATAATCACACTTTATTTTCTTAAATATTCATATACCTGTACCTTGAACAATATATAGCATATATTTTAATAAATTGACATATTTGGGTGCTTACTAGTCATTACTGCTATTTTTTGTGTCATATGAAAAAGTTAATATATAGGGCATCTCAAAATTAATGGAACAAAGAGAAACTAAAGTATTGTAATTTAATCAAACTTTCCTTAGTTGAAAAGCTGACTTTACGAACAATGCAGGATGTTAGTTACAATTTTTTGTTTGATTTTTAGTTGTACTTTCTTTTATTTTATTATCTAAAAATTGACGTGCAAAAATTTTTGTTTGGACAACAATATTAGTTTTCATATTTTCTTCTCAATCTCTAACTTTTTTTACCCTTCGTATGTCACAATTTCAGCTAATCGTTTATTATTTTTCAGTTTAAAGGTTAAATTGACAGTTGCTCTGTGTCTCATGAACTATGGATACCCTGTATTAACGAAGTTTTAAAAATTTCACAAACTATTTTACAAAATTTATGCATGTGGAAAATTTTTATTCGCTTGGTTTTTTCTGCATTTCATAATAATGGGGAGGGGGATAACCATAACTATATCACCTCATATCAAAATAAACAAAACAATATTGCATATCGTAAAGGAGTAATTATACTAACATATGGAAGTGTCAATTTGGAATATATGTTTAAAGATTTAATAAAGAATTGAACACCCATAGCATATTGTACACCATAACCAAAAACCCGCGATATTACATATTATAAAATGTAGGATGTTCCATTAAAAAATAAATAATTTACCTTTATCAATGATTTTCTATTAATTCAACAATTGGAAAAAATAAAGACATGGTGTAACGTAAATAGCAAGCATTAACATTTCTAAGTATAAAATTTTAATATTTACGTATAAGAACTTATTATATTTGATTATAACTTCAAAACATTAAAAAACACAAGAGACTTCCTATTGTGTGTAATTATACCTTTAACTCCTATACAGGGTGTCCCAGTAACGTGTACGGCGGAAGACCATAGATTCGTGGACTCAAAATAGGCAGATTTAGGCTAATTCACCTATATCCGAAATCGCTTCGTTTGGCTGCTAGATGGTCTCGAAGTTCGTGAAAATTTTTTGACTTGTAAATAACTCAAATACGTATTATTCGATTTTTAATACTTTTGGGCAGTGGACTTTTGCTTTCAATCTACAAATTTTGGCGTTATACAGAGTGTTTTTTAAAACTTACAGCTCCTACAGAATTGATGTATGGTGAGAATATTCGTTCATAACTTTTCCTCTTTCGGGAAATAATAACAACTATTTTTTATTTGATATTTGGAAGTTTTTGTAAAATTTTGATTAAATGAGTGGTTTGGGTATAAAAAAATATTTTTTAAATGTATACATTATTTTGCCGCTCATACTACAATACTTACAAAAGTGTCAGTAGGCTCTGATTTTATATGTTGACTGTAGTTTCAGCTTGATCTTTAAATCATTGTACCTGCCAATTCTGTTTTGCTAGAAGCGGAATAATAAATATTCACAATGGACATGTGTATGCTCAAGAAAATCCACATGCTATTAAGGTGAAACATTATCAACATGAATTTTGCATCAATGTTTGATTTAGAATCGTTGATACCATTATTATTGGCCCCGTTATTCTACCCAATAGACTGAATGAGGAAATTTATTTAAAATTTTTGCAAAACCTGAGTTATTGAAAGATGTGTCGTTAATACTCAGAGCTAACATGTGGTTTATGCATGATGGCGCTCCACTGTAAATGTCCGGCAGTATCTGAACCAAAGATTCCCTCGTAGAGGGATGATGTTTCTGTTAACTGGCCTGTACATTCACCAGATTTAACATCCTGCGACTATTGTCTTTGGGGCACTCTGAAAACAACAGTGCATGTTTCCACATCGTAACACTGAAGACGAGTTGTGGAGGCATATCTAAAATATCATAAATGTTTTAAAAAATAGCCCTTAAGAACTGCAAATAGTGTCATTTAACTTTCTTCGCCGAATTAACCTTTATTGTAGCAACACTTGTGGTCATTTTGAAGTTTTTATAAGTTGTATTAAATTTGATAACATCAATTTTGTTACTTTTTTCTGCAGCATTTTTTATTCTATTTGATTGTTTTTATGAATTAATTCAATAAAATTTGGTACATACATATTTCTTAATTTGTCGTATGTGTGTATCCATATTGAAAAATGAAGTAACATGTGGTATATCTTATCGTAGTAAACACTCATTAAGAATTGGCAGGTACAATGACTTAAAGATCAAACTGAAATTACAGTCCACCTATAGAATCAGTGACTACTAGCACTTTGTTAAGTATTGTAATATGGGTCGCAAGATGACGTAGACATTTAAAAAATATTTTTCTGTACCCAAACTCATTTAATCAAATTTCTATAAGAGGTCCAAAAACTTCCAAATGGTCTGAAAGAGGGAAAAGTTATGAACGGATATTATCAACATACATCAATTTTGTGGGAGTTGTGAGTTTTAAAAAACACTCTGTATAACACCAAAATTTAATTTGTAGATTGAAAGCAAAAGTGCACACCCCAAAAATAATAAGAATCGATTAATACATATTCGAGTTATTTACAAAATTCAAAAAGATTTCCCGAACTTTGAGGCTATCTAGCGGCTAAACGAAGCGATTTCGGATATAGGTGAATTAGCCTAAATTTGCCTATTTTGAGTCCATGAATCTGTGGTCTTCCGTTGTACATGTTATTCTGGGACACCCTGTATATTACAAAGTCCAATATGATTGGAGACCTTAGAGTTTATTTCGATACATGTAGTGAATATGTGAAGTTCAGCCTTCAAAATGTTGGGACTAACCATGACTTGGTAACACGGCATTTAACACCATAATAATTTTAACGCCGTATAAAGGACTAAGGGGGCTCAGATGGGATAGAACATGATGTGAAAATACGCATTCGTGCTCCACACTTTTTTGCGTACTGTATACATTCCCATTTTTTCCGCACTATGACAGAACTATTAATCATCAATTTGTAAATCTCAAATACAATTCCATAGGTAAAAAAAAAAAAATCGTATCAACAATTTTAAAATAAAGCTCATTTAGTTGATGAACTAATAGATAAATTCTATATTTTTGATATAAAGTTTACACAGGTTGTTTCCTAGGCAACAGACACTCCAAAGTCATTTTTAGAATTAAAACTTTAAGGTCATGATGAAAGTATACAAATTTATCCACATTGATACAAGTAGTACTACAATAACAAGTGTATATATTCCTAAAAAGAAGTTTGTAATGACTTCATTATATAACTTTCCTGAAAAATAACTGAAATAATGTTATCATCGTTTACAGTCCTTTTGTGTAATCAATGACGATATGAGAATAATATATTTTCTTTCAAAAGGGAGGCTTCTGTGAGAGGAATCAGTATTAATTGATTGTGAAACTGATTACTAATAGCACAGGAATTGTTTGTAATTAACTTGAAGCAGTGGTATGCAGGTGTATTTTTCATATATCATAATCTAATTGTGTTGTATGTATATCGAGATCGCGGAAAGCTCTTTAGTGATTCTTCAGTTACGACTTCTTATCTATTAATTCCTTAAATTTAGTTTCATCAGTTTGTGTCCTTTTCTTTCTGTTTGAAATATTACTGGCATATAGGTATAACAAAGTTAATATAAATATAAAATATTTTTGAATATAAAAATTTATTATAAATATAAAATATTTTTGAAGGTAAAAATTTATTATTTATAAACTTGGAATGTCAGTATTATATTTTTTTTCTAATTCTGTTTTGTGTTGTGAACACACATTTACAAATGATTTGTTTTTAAGTTGCATATTATGTCAACTTCTATTTTCAATTTGGGGGATTTCATGCTATATTTTTTAGATCAGTATGTGCTCCTTGAAATTCTGTTGCTTTAAACCAGCGTCTTATTATTTAAAAATTTTTAGACATTATTTTAGTTGAGTATTTTTATTTTTCCCATACTAGGGTGTCAAATTGAATAATCTAACAGTAGTAGAGAATTATTATTGACAAATTAAAAAGTTACATTTGATATGGCTCGGATCGATTAATATTATTTTATGTTAGAATTGATATGTCAAACATATTTAAATATATACTGCATAAATATAATTTGATGTCAAGAAAAATAACATTTTAAAATTTTAGAATACAAATACTGTTTAAGTTAGATATTTATATAACTTTATTGACTGCTAAAATTGAAGCCATTTTCTGAATATATTTTGTATTTCCAGTAATTGGTCGTGGAGGGGAACAGATAACAAGACTTCAATCCGAGTCAGGTTGTAAGATTCAAATGGCACCTGATTCTCAAGGTATGCCAGATAGAATTTGTTCATTGTCGGGTACAAAAGAGGCTATTTCTCGGGCGAAAGAACTAATTATGAACATAATTCATCAAAGAGGCCGGTCCGAAGGTGTACCTGGCCTTGATATGGGCGGGCCAGGTATGGGACCACCTGGCAACCAAGGCGGCGGTGCCCATAATAATTTTCCAGGTTAAGATCAATATTTTTATGCATGGTGCATGATCCTCATTCCTTTAACTAAATTCTCTAATTCTCCTATTGATTATCCTGTACCTTTAATTAACATATTATTTTGCATGCAAGCTGTTCGTAATAACACCTCTTATAATAGATTAGTCTAATAATCTATCAGTGGAATTTAGAAAAATATATTTCCTACTGTTAGAAAATTTTGATTTGACACCTAACTGTTCTAAAATAGTACAGCTCTTAATTATTGTTAGCAATGTTCTACAGGTTTAAAAAATACAGAACAGTAAGGTATAAAGAAGGTATTTATTTATATACATTTTCAACAATAAAAGTTTGTTAATGTAGCTTAATTCTTTCTATAATAATAGATTAAGCTCCAAAACATACAAATATTTTCTAAGCTCCTGTCTCGATTATGATGGTAAATACTGCTCTCTGTAATATTAGGTGGTAGTATTAAGCAGTTTGTATTTTATGATACCTGCTTAATAAGGTTCATTATTGATATGTGCTTTTGTAGTTTGTGACAACTTTTATTGATTAATTTTGTTTACAAAATTTTTGAACATTACCTGCTCTGCCACAAAATTGATGTGAATACTACAGGTTTGTTCACAGAGCAATCACAAAAATGTAATTGCTAATTGTCATATACATTGCCATTGTACTTGCAACATTTGTAAACAGTGCACAAACATTTGACCCTTGCTAAATATTTCTAATGTGCTGGGAATAAAGGTAATACTGATCGTCTTATTTGTTCAATATTGTTTTTCATTTATCTTTTTCCGTTTCATATTTTTTTGTAAAAAAATGTGTTACATTGTTTTTTTAATAATTTTTTCTAACAGTTATCTTAATCCAACAGACACAGATGATTTTTTGATAAATATGCCAAAAACCTTTCTTAATGTGGAAAGGATACAAAGTATTTTAAGTTGAAAATATTTAACAGAAATGTAATGCCTCTTGAGTAAACTTGGAAACTGGATAAATGAGGAATTTAACCTGTTGGGTAAAACAAATTTGAGTCTTTGTTGATAACGATATTCAGAAATCCACTTGGGTATTTATTATTAAAATCCCTGTAATTTTTATGTATATAGTATAAGTTTTAAATTTAACATAATACTATAATTTAATATTTTTCTTATTTAGCTATTATTCCTTATCAATATGTAGGGTTATGTTTTCTTCCAAAAAAATTTTACAGGTTATTTCTAAAAATAAGAAAAAAGTTCATATTAATACAGGTCTCCGCAAACAATATGTTTTTGGAATATAGGGTGATAAAGTTTTACTCCTTTAGTTATTATCAATTAATTGTTTTACATATTTTTTTAGGATAATTGATTCAAATTTTGTGCATTAGTAATTAATATTAACTTTGGTGTGACTACCTGACTATTGTTATGAGAAAAGACAACTCTCGGATTTATCTTTTAACTTTTTGATCTCTGAATTGTTTTTATTTGTATCATCTGATTGGATGTCATTCAAAGTGAGACTTGAAGCATGGTTATATTTTATAAGTGATTTTTGGCCAGTGTTATGCAAATCTTTACTACTTTACTTTAGTTTCAATTCTGGAGATTTAACTGACCAGCAGTTAGGACAATTGGTACTATCCATCTTCCAAAAATCTTTAAAACAAATAATTAAAAAATATTCATGTAATGTAATGTAATCATATAATCTTTTTTCTTTATTTTGTGGATGAAATATTGTGTTACCCTGTGTATTGGTAGGAAGAAACCTTTTAATTTTATAAAATAATGTAGAAACAATACAGAATGAACTTTTTAATTTTTTTTTGTAGATAAAGCCTTTAAATTAACAACCAGAAAGTATCAATATAAAATTTAAACATTTTTGTTCTTTCCAAAATAATGGTCTCTGATCTCAATCTGTGATGTGACTTGTACATATTAAATTAATGGGTAAACAAAATGCATTATTTTCTAGAAGGTCTGAATAGCATAAAGAGATTGTTATGTTATACAGGGTGTTAATTAAGTATGTAAATAAATTCAACAGACAATTATTTGAGTGATTTTAAGACAAAAAGTTCATATAAACATTGGTCCGCAGATACTTCGTTTTCAAGATACAGGGTGTTAAGCTTTTCTAAAAAAATTGCTATTTCGTAAAACACCTTTTACCCAATTTTGTTGTAATTTGGCAGTGTTATGTTGAATTTATTGTACATACTTAATTAACACTCTGTATATATATAATAAAACAAAATGTTTGTATTTTATAGTTGTACATCTTAGTTAATATTGGCAAGATAGAATTAGGAAAAAAAGTTCTAGTATTTTGAGGCAATTGACCAAGAAAAATTAAGTAAAACACTATGTTACATTGTTTTTGACTGATTTTGACAAAAATTATATTTTGTAACTTTTTAGTAACTTGCCCACAGTTTTTTTGTAACTAGAATTGTCGGTACATATTACAATAAATTTAAGAAACATACTGCGTTATGTCAGGTTAAGGCTTCGGCAAGCAGAACGTGGGCTGTCGCGGCAGACAGCGATCGCGGGTCTTCACAGTGGTCAGCGGTCTAGTAATAAAGCAGTCTATGTGACAGTTTCGTAGATAATAATCCATTTAATATTTTTATTAAAATACTTTTTCTTATAAAAATTTTTGTATCTCTTATACTTAATGAGTTGCTGCGTATTATATGAAAATTGCATGAGAATTGTGCACGCTGCAGTGGCTGCAGTGGTGGTCTTGTAAACATATTTTTACAAAGAGTTGGTAACAGTGGGAGTGAGGCAAGCGGTATTAGGCTGTCATGTGTTAGCTGACAAACTGCATCAGTTCATATTTAGTTTTCATTCATTTATTCAAGAAATTGTTGCAAACATTAAAAAAAAGTGTTCAGTGGATGTGATACCACATCGACTCCATTTGCTTTTGGCAAAGCCAAATTTATAGTGTTTGTATTAGAGATACAAAAAAATTCTATAAGGAAAAAGGAGGCAGTCCCCAAGCAACCCAGAAAAAATCATCCTGTTGGGATGTTTTTTTTTTTTGGTGGCCTGTATAAGTCGAGCACAACTTTATTGGATTAAAATATTGTATTGTTATTAAAATTTGACATTTATTTGCCGATTGTGTCAAAAGCTAGAAGTGAAAGTGAATAAAAATAAGTGTTGTATTTGTAAAGAAATTTGAACTGATTAATCATAATTTGTGGTTACTAACCAGGTTACTAATCAAGACAACAATATATAATTAAAATTTGGTTAATTTTATACAAAAATCATAAGTATAATTGATTAATTAATTAAGGAGGAATATGAGTAGACAGTGGAAATAATATGTGATATTTAGGAATTATCTCAAATACTGTCCGTTCGATTTTGTCTAGGATTGTTTTATTCGAAAGTATACATGTTGAGGTATGCTAAATTTCTTTATAATTATATATCAGCTGGGAGCGCTGAAGTCATGGCTGCCGTAAAAAATATCGCTCCCTCGCACAGTCCGCGATTTCCAAAATAACATGCAGTTAGTTGACCTGAAACAAAAATTTCAAAAAGATTTTCAAAATGTAATGTATATTTGCAACGTAGGAAATTATTGAAACAAAATTTTTTCAGAAAATAGTGGCCGATTGAACTTTAAATTCATTTTTCAACCTTAATTTCCGATCTTTCTGGCTTGATAAAAAAAAATATGTTTCGAAGTAGAAAACCTGCTCGAAAACTTTGTCAAATTTTGGAAGCAATCAGTCGCGCCATTTTCCGAATATTTTGGAAACTGTCTGAATAGTATGTTTTGAGATAATCATTTTGAAGTTTGGTAAAGCACTGACGCGCTTGGGAACTTGGTCGCTTTTCAGCTTGTCGATAAATCACCCATAACTTTTACAATTCTTGAAATATCACGGTAACATTTACACACAATATTCTTCATGTTCCAAACTTGGAGAATTTTTTTGAAAAAGTTTTATTTTTATAAAGAAAATCATAGTTATATAATATATAATATCATATTGAGACAACTTTTTTTACTTTACCCTTAATCTGCGATTTTTGGACCATAGAGTAGGCCCTATTTAGCACTGGGCATCTTCTGCAGGGATCCGTGATTGCTTTCGCTGAATCCTCTCACGGGTCACGTAAGTTTTGATTTCAGCAGTAAGCCCGCAATTGGCATTTCGATCTCGCAATGGTGATCACTTTTTTTCTACTGTATCTTTTATTCATTTCACTATATAATTTTTATAAAACAATGCACAAAATAATAATGTTGCACACTGATGATAAAATGACGCTCCAGCTAGACGAACCGTTAGAATTCACAAAGGGTCCAACACTTCAATGCCTGCCTGCTAAACCCTGGTAAAAGATTCTGGCGGCTGGCTGCTTCACCACATTCCCGTGAATAGTCCATAACTTCCACAATTATTGGAATTTCAGTATGAAATGTACATACAATATTCTTAACACTAGAAATTTTAAGATGAACGAAAAAAAATTGAAAAAAACATTTGTTTCTACTCGGATATTCCCCCTTAATTGATGAAATTTTTACTAAAATTGACAGCTTGCTATTACTTGCTACTTGCTACTTTTGGTCAGAGAATTCCCTGTAGAATTTTGTCAGCGGAATATTTGTAATGCTCTGTATACTTATTGTAAACATGAGTATCAAATAAAAAAATTAGATGAAGAGATATTTAGTTCTCTATTAGTTTTTTCTTTGATAAGTATTATTTTTATATACATTAAAACACTTATTAAATAAGACACAGTTTAAATTAGTTTGTTTTAAGTTCATGATTTGGTATTTTATTGAAATGATGATCTAACATTTCATTCGTTTTATTTCAAATTAACTTAATGGTCAACTTTGAACAAAATTAAAAAGTACATAGTTAATTTTAGTTAATAATAATAATAACACTTTATTTGTCCAACAGTATATACCATTTACAGGACAATCTAGTACAAGTATTAAATTGAAGAAAGAAAAAAAAACAATACATAATAAAATAAAAATGATGGGTGCACCTAGAACAGAGCATTACTAAAAAAAAAAACAAAAACAAAAACTAATTCATGCAAATAATAGCTACCATTATATATAACAACAATTAAATAAACCTATTCTTAGTTGCATGAAAAAGCTCAGAAAGAGAACAGTTGAAAATGTCACACCTATTACAAATGGAATTATTATTATAAAACATCCTGACAAGTGGTGACTTCAATAAGAGATTAGATCTTAATCACCCAAATAGTTAATTAACCATGTGTCGACACTAATTTTAAATATTCCTAACAATAGGTAATTGTACAGGGCTTTCATAAATGATTACAAGCCACATGACCAGTAATTTTGTTTGGAACAGTAATTTTATTTCCTTCATGTTGGCCATTAAATTTCCATAAAATAAAAAATTATTAAAATAGTAAGATCAAAGTTACATGAAAACATAACATTTTGTTCACCGGCTGGTGATTGATGTAATTTTTCACGAGATACTATTCAACCAATCAGCGATCACATTATCTTGAGTGTAGACTTAACGGCTTGTCATTGATCATTGTGAACAAGTCATTAATATTGGTGACGCCAAGATCTAGGGAATTTTTATTACCAGTACCAATCGTACAATGTTGGGTTGCCTAAGATCGATGGTCACTTGGCTTGTAAACATTTATGAAGGCTCTGTATATGACAATGGGGTGTTTGCCACCTTTTTAGATATTTATAGAACATGGAACAATGTGACAACTTGCTCTGTATTGTTTTATTTTTGTATGAAATCATTATTTAACTGAAAATTATAAAAAAATGTAAAACTAAAACTAATTTGGCGGACAGCTGGGACATGCTAAACTATGCCTTTTAATTGTGCCGTCTATTAATAGGAAGTTTAACTAAAACCTCGTACTACTGTTCCTCCTTTTATTTAGAAAAAGACAAGTTTTCTGTAATAAAATAAGTTTTCTGTAATAAAAACATCTATATTCTTGTAAGTCACAAGTTGAATTAAAATTTTTGAAATCAAGTAAAAATTTATATAAGTTTTTAGCTAAATTGCTTATAAGATTTGCATTAACTTTCATTGCAGAAGAGAGTGAAGTGATAAAATGCTACATAATTTTTGAGCAAACTCCATTACAAAACAACTTATAACTTTGTACCAGGATCGAATTTTTCATGGATGATCAAAATGATTTTTAAAGGTTGCGTTTTGGAAATTAATGGTTGTAATGTTACGTTTTTTTTTTTCATGTTAAACAATAGAAACAAAAATTGGCAGAATTTATTGAAAATATGTCCCTCGCAACCACATTTCAGTATTTCTGTGAAAAATTATAGTTCTCAATATAATACAAGAAGAAAAATAAATCAAGATAAAGTTATTTTAACACAATTCTGTTTCCTTGAAAAATTATGAACGTTATTAAGATATTTCAATAAATTTTGTTTGGGGTATTTGGGGTTTCTAGTCTAATCCAACCTGATCTTTTTTCTACATTTTTAGCAATATTTACTATATTTTACAATTTAGATTAACTTACCTCTATTCAAATGTTAGCACCTAATGAGATATAATCCTTATAATGCAGAGGTGGCTCGTGAAAATTAAAGTGGTCATATTTTGATAATATAGGTAGCATTCTTCCCATTTTTTAGGGGATAATTTCTAGGCCCATAAAGAGAATTTCAATCATGAAAAAATTTCGGAAGCAATTTGTAAAATAAAAAGGGTTGCAAATATATATTTTTTTCATAATCAGCTGTTCTTTTATCAAAGTTTTTAATGCAAAAAAACGCATTTCACACAAACATGTGCAACTCTTTTTGAGATCTCAGAAGCAGCAACATCTATTTTAATTTTCTATTTGGCAAATTCGTACAAAATTTTTTTATCATGAAAGTTTTCTATGTGAGCATAAAAATCATCCCATAAAAAATGGTCTCCCATATTTGATTAACAAAATATGATCACTTTAATTTTCACCAGTTCTACAAAAAAACATTTGGAAGCCATATCTCAATAGGGTTGACTTCTAGTAAGGAAATTGTAGTAGATAAATTGATTTAAATCATAAAAATTGTTTAGAAAACCACATATTTAGCAAAAGAATAGAATTTAAATAGATTGGAATAGATACTTCCAAATACCCAACCCTTCAAAAGTAATAACTGCATCAGAAAATTACTTATAAGCATTTTCCCAAAATTTCTGATTTTAGAGCTACAAGATCGGTAAAATTAGCACAAAATTTTGTGAGAAGTTTCTTACTATTTCGCAAATTAGATAATTCCTTCAGGTTCCTGAAAAAAAATCGGTGTTTATAAAGTTTTTTCTGAAACCATCAATGTTACGGAAATAGTGAGGACGTGGATTGACCAATAATTTTATAATTGTAAATAGAATTCAATAAAATTATCAGAAGTTTAATTTCTAAGTTGGATTTTGAGATATAAAACAATATTGCATTTTTTTTATGTTACAGGTGGTTGAAGGCTCACAGTTATTTTTTTTAAATATGATTTGTTTTACTGATACTTTTTTTTATAAATTAGAAAATGATATATATAAAAAAATTAATCCCCTCTTTGTCTCTGGAATACCAATGAAAAACAAGTTTTATTAAAATTAAACTTAATCTCAATTTAATAAGAAAATATTTGCAGTAAAAAAATCGAACTAGAGTATCAACAATATATGATGTTTAATTGCCTAGTATAGTTTTCCACTTTTTGAATAAAATATTAAATATTTTGAAAAATAATCCTGTTTAAAAAAAAAGTAAGTTTATATTATATCTTATTTGGAAATGGTAACAAGTACATACAGTGTAGGAGAGTACCGATGGTCTATCAGAAGTTACGTGAGAGCGATAAAGTAAGCCATAGAAATCCATGTGATAGACAAGGATGGCTATAATGAAGACGTCTAATAGTCAACGCCCATTTCGCCCTTCCACAAATAAGAAGTGGATCTTATTTGTGGAAGGGCGAAACGGGCGGTGACTATGAGAGGCCTTCATTATAGCCATCCTTCTCTATCGCATGGATTTCTATGGCTTACTTTATCGCTCTCACGTAACTTCAGATACCATCGGTACTTTCCTACCCTGTATATTAAATTTTACATAAAGTTAATTATATCTCGTTTCCCCTGTTTCCTTCCGGATAATTTAGGAACCTGAAAATATAGTTTAATTTTGAAAATAGTAATGAATTTCTCACAAAATTCTGCATCACTTCGCAAATTTAATGGATTCTGACTCAAAAAATTAAAAAATATCCAAATAAGGGGATAGCTAACATCATCCTGTATACAACTTAGGTTTTGAAATTCTGCATTTTTTGTAGAAACCAAGGAAATTTATTCCATGAACATGTTCTTTTTGTCAAATTGTCCAAAATGTTTAATATTACAGAGATAGTATTTTCAGTATTATTGTCTATTTTAAACCTAATTTGAAGCTGTATGATGAATTTAAAAACTGTTTATAGTATGTAGTCATGGACTTTATCCAGTATATTTATTTTTTTAGGAATGAACAACATGAACCCTAATATGGGTGGTGGACCTGGCGGACCAGGAGGTCCTAGTGGTCCTGGTGGACCAGGTGGCCCAGGTGGCCCAGGTGGCCCAGGTGGTCCAGGTGGACCAGGTCTTGGAGGACCTGGTGGTCCAGGAGGACGTAATACCTTGGAAATAATGATACCGGGTCCAAAAGTTGGTTTAATAATAGGCAAAGGGGGGGAAACAATAAAACAGTTGCAGGAAAAAAGTGGAGCGAAAATGGTTGTTATACAAGATGGACCAAATCAAGAGCATGAAAAACCATTATTGATTACGGGAGACCCACAGAAAGTAGAATATGCTAAGCAATTGGTATATGATTTAATTGCAGAAAAGGAAATGAAAAATTTCAATAGACGTGGTGGTGGAAGAAATGATAACAGACAACAAGATCAGTACAATGATTTTGGTGGTGGAGGTAATGATTCAGAGGTATGTGTAATATTTCTTGTAATCATTTCTTATCAAAATAAAGATACAAAATGTTTAAATTCCAAATAGCCAGTTAATAATGGTCGTTTTTATTTTTTTTTTTGTTTTTTTTTTGTGGGAAGTTTATTTTTTTATTTTTTAAAGTATTTTTTAAAATTAACTTAAAACTAATCACAGTCAAGCGTGACTGTCACATCGCTAATGTTAACTTAACCTTAGTTCTGAAAATCAAGAAGGCTATGGATGGAAAAAAATTCCTCCATGAAGTAGTGCAGTCAATAATATAAACGTGTCAAATTTCTTCTAATCAGCTATTTGGGAGTTATTAAAAAATATATGTATATTTTATCACCTTATAACCTGTTTACTATGTTTTCAAATCCATATTTATAGAAAACCTTTGGTTTAAAATTACATTTCCTATCTGCTGTTTCAGTTTGACGCCATATTTTAGATAACAGGGTGTTAATTAAGAACATTGACAAACTTCAAGAGGTGATTCTTTGAATGATTTTAAATCTAAAAGGTTATGTAAACATGAGTCTGCAAATCCATAGTTTTTGTGTTACAAAGTAGTGAAATTAAGAAAATATCACCTTCTAAAATATTTGTGGAGACATTTGATAAAGGATAATGAATTAAATTAATGATATATCTAATTAAAGATAATAATCTACTGCGTTTGGATATAAATACATGTATCAGCAGTAGAGATACCGGAAGTCATTTTCACTAAGAACCTCAGAGACTGTTTCCCCTGCTTCCTTTAACATAATGCAAAATTTCTACTTTATTGATTTTTTTGAACTTGTTATGTATTTATACCAAAAAAATCTTATGATCTTATTCGAAAAACGAATAGTTCTAGTTGTTTGCATCGTTACATCGTATGAAGTTTTGGCAATATGTTAATGAAAATTAAGAAAAGTGTTGAATTGGGAATGGATTATCTGTTTTTCAAATAAAATAGAAGTTATCTCTTTTTCTTGTAAACTCTACAAGAAGTTATATAAAGTGATTGAATTTTCAAAATATCCAGAGGCTTTGAATTTCTGTCGTTTTCAATTTTTGGTTTTAATTAGACAAATCATTAATTTAAGTTTCAGCGTTCTGCATAAAAAATCTTCAGAAATATTTTAGAAATAGATTTTTTTTTGTTAAATTTCATCACCTTTTCGGTTTAAAATCACCCAAATATTCACCCTTGAAGTTTGTTAAGCTACTTAATGAACAATTAACATGTAGCTTTCCTCATTTTATTTTAATATATATATTTTTTTGTTAAAGGTTTTAGTGCCAAGAGCAGCCGTAGGTGTTGTAATTGGAAAAGGAGGAGACATGATTAAGAAAATTCAAGCGGAAACTGGAGCTCGGGTTCAATTCCAACAGGCTAGAGATGAAGGGCCAGGTGACAGACGCTGCTTCCTTTCTGGAAACCCAAAACAGGTGGAACAGGTAGGTGTATTTAAAAATTATATGCATTTATAATGGGCCCGCATACAGAAATTTGTATAAGATTTGTAAAAGATATGAATATTGAATACTAAAAGATATGAACAAATATTTTTTTGTCTATTTTAAGTGTGAAAAACAAGACAAATTTGTGGACATTACTACAATAGATTTACAAAATGGCAACGTTGCAAGTATTTTTTTTTACATATTTCAAGGTGTATCCTAATTTGGAAAACGTAAAATTATCGGGGAATTTTATATATCTGGAATTTTTTTAAATAAATAAAATCAACTCCATTTAATGCAAAAACGCGGTTTTGCACATCCTACTAGTTAGTTGTAAAGGGCTACTTAATTTCAACTTATTTTTCTTTTTCGATACATTTCTTTGGATCATCTAGAACCTATATCTACAATATTAACTTCTAAAATTAACTTTTAGTTATCAAACATTTGCAAAAAACGAATGAAATTAATTTTCCAAAAACTGATATTTCTGCGTCCGACCTTTATTTTACAGTTAACATATTGGTGAAATATGATTTTATATACCTTAAATTGTAGGTATTTTACTTGTCTACAATATAAAATGACTAATTTCCCGATAGGTCGTCTAGATTTTTATGGGCAGTAAAACAAATGAAAAAAAACACATCATTTTGCAACTTATTTGCAATTTGCCAACTTGGCATCCCTTCTTTCGAGTTACTTTTTTGATATTGTCATTCTACATACCATTCCCCGTCATAAAGAGCAATCAAATGTTTAGTAATAATTTTTTTACGTTCAAACTCTAATTCGACTGGAGTATCATTTGACAAGAGTAATAACATTTTTTGGCTTTTATAGTTTTGATGCATAGGTTTTTAACATATTGCAAAAAGATTTGAAAAAATAGACATTGAACATTTTTTTAATTATTGATTTTATTTTCATACAGAAATCAAAATTTTGTCAAAATAAATTAATGTTATGAGAATTTAGCCAAAAATTTCACATATTTAAAAAAAATCATACCTCACATAAATATTTCAAATTTATGTGAGAGGTACTGACAAAAATTTAGAAAATTGAGAATTGTTATGAAATTAAGAAACAAAATATTTTTTCAAAATAATGAAAATTCTTGTGAAACAAATATTCTCTTGAAAATGTTAAATATTTTCCAAATTTCTCCTTAATGCTCTTAAATGCTTTATATTGTTCAATAGTTTCAAAAGTAATATTAAAAAATGTTGATATTAATCTGCAGCATGATTTGAAAAAATTTGGAAAAGCTTTCCTATTGTATTCCTAAAGAGATCAAAATTCTAGAATCTCCAAATTCTCTAGAATATTTGCTTTTAACCCTTTCGCTGCGCAATACGTCTGAACATGAAGCAGTTAGACTAACTTATATTTTTACATTATGTTGTGTTAAATTAAATTAAAATATGTTTAAACGTTTCAAAATAATTGTAATAGTTTTGTTATTAATATTTTATTATAAAGCATCTATCACTACGCTCCTCAATCAGCGAATTAATTCGTCTGGAGCAGTTTGAGTCCTATAAATTTGTAGCGAATAAATATCTCTGGAACAGTGAAAGGGTTAAGAAACTGTGGTTGTAGGTATCAAATTTAAATTTAATTGTCTATATGTAGAGATGGGCAATGGGAAATTTTCCATCCCGGAAAGTTTCCAAAACGGAAATTTTCTGGGAAGAAATAATCGAAGCCTGAGAAATTTTCCCTAGAAAGTTTCTGGAAAAATTTCCATCAGAAATTTTCCGGGAATATTTCTAACAATTTGTATACTTGGAGCCAATTTTACTTCTAACTTCTGTGAATACAACCTCAAAAAATCGTTAGTTAATTTCGGTTTTACGGTTAATTCGGAATACCAGAAGACCATATTATCCAAATAAGTTAGAAAACACTTACACTTACTTATTTTAATCTTTGTTAAGTCTACAATCTACATAATAGAGAGCAATACAAGACTCATAAATTGCCTCCTTTTCAAATTTAAAATAAATTTTGGTAGTTGAACCAAAGTACAATTACATTTTAAAACTAGTATAATNATCTACATAATAGAGAGCAATACAAGACTCATAAATTGCCTCCTTTTCAAATTTAAAATAAATTTTGGTAGTTGAACCAAAGTACAATTACATTTTAAAACTAGTATAATTATTTAATGTATTTACTATTTATTTGTTAAAAAATAAAGATAAATAGCATTTTGTATACTGTATAGTATACTGCACCGCAACCCGCAGCATGTAATTTTTATTAACCGATGATTAATATAATTTATATTTTTCAAATATTTATACCAATTTAAACAAAAATGTATAAGTATTTGGTCTTTTTGGAAAGTTGATGGTATGTAGAACGCAATACCAAATCCAAAAAAAATTTTTGAAAATTTCAGAAAATTTCCGGAATTTTCAATGGAAACTTTCCAGGAATTTTCATAGTTTGGGAATGTTCCCATCTCTATCTATATGTGTTATCTGAGATATTGCCCAAACTGCATTTTATGCATGCGATTTTGACCGCCCTTTATCTTTTTTTTTTCTGGAATTATAAATTTTTTCTTCATACCATGTTTTGTATCATCTATTAATATAAAACACAATTAGGTTAAACTCCCAGTATATTTTAAATAATCTGAATAGTTTTTGTTTTTCAGTAATGACAGAGATAAAATTGTTTTTGTGAAATAATTTAAGGTACAATAAAACAGAATTTTATTTACAGGCAAGGCAAAGGATAGAGGAACTCATAGATAGCGTTCATCAAAGGGACAGTGGCGATGGTGGCGGTCGCCCTGGTGGAGGTATGCGCGGTGGCGGCAGAGGAGGCCGAGGTGGGGGTGGTGATAGGTTCGATAGAGGAAATAGAAATGGAGGACAAGATTACGGAGGTGGTAATAATCAGTGGGATGATAGGAGAGGTCCCCAACAGCCGCCACAAGAAGTTTCATTCACTGTGCCTAGTAATAAGTGTGGAGTTATTATAGGGAGAGGTAAATTAGTCATTGCATATGTAACAATAAGACATTCTATAACACCTTAATTTTTTCTTCATTTCTATGCTGAATAATACCTTTCTCTTCAGGGGGTGAAACCATAAAGCAGATCAATCAACAATCCGGTGCATATTGTGAACTTGACAGACGGTCTCAGAATCAAAATTCCAACGAAAAGACTTTCACAATTAAAGGTGACTTAGATCAAATAGAAACAGCAAAGAGAATCATTAGTGAAAAAGTACAAATGCCATTAAATTTTGTTACTACTGGAGGAGGTGGTCCACCAATGACTAATAACATGCCAACGGTAAGTTATATGTTATTTTAACTCCAAGGATAACAAATTTGCCTTTGAAATTCCAAATGTAAATAAATATAGACTGTGATTTAGTTTAAACATTATGACAAGTATCTTCACTACATCTACATTATTTTAGTAGAATTATTTTAATTTTATTGGAATTTGGCGATGACCAAATTCTCTTTTAAAAAATATGCATTTAATTATTGGTTCTTATATTTCTACTTTATTTTAAATATATATAGTTGAATCAAGTAAATTTTAAAAATTTTATATAAAAAATACTATGAACTGAAGTCAGACGATGTTCTACGATATCAAAAATTTTAAGTATTCAAAAAATACACAGTCCAGCTATTAAGTTTTAAGGATGATTTTATTGTGGTGAAGTGTGTGGCACTATTTATATGCAGTCAACGGAACCACGTATGGGAAAGCCTTTGGAGCAACCGAACAAAATTTCATCAATATACGTGTATCTACCATGAAGTTATAATGTTTTGTGTGAAGCGAGGTTTTGATAGTTGTCATGGAAACACATGTTGAACAGCGTACAGCAAACAAGTTCTGTTTTAAAGCTGGCAAAGCAGCCACGGAAACGTATCAACTGTTACAGATGGCGTACGGTGAGGAGTGTCTATTACATCCAACTGTGTTCCTGTGGTTCGTAAGGTTTTGCGATAGCTGAGACAGCGTACATGATGACGAGAGGACGAGGCATCACCGCACAAGCCAAACCAATGGAAACACTGAAGCTGTATGCTCTGCGCTGACGTCTTATCGTCGATCAACCATCAAAATGTTGGCAGACCATGTACGAGTGATGGCCATCACGAAACCTCCCGAACCACAGGAACACAGTTGCACATGATACACACACTCCTCACCATACGCCGTTTTTAACAGTTGATACGTTTCTGTGGCCTGTGTTACTGGCTTTAAAACAGAACTTGATTGCTGTACGCTGTCAATATGCGTTTCCATGACAACTATCAAAAATGTTATAACTTCATGGTAGATCCACGTATACTGATGAAATTTTGTTCAGTTGCTCCGAAGGCTTCCCACTACATAGTTCTGTTGACTGTACATAGATAGCGCCACATACTTTGCCGCAATAAAATCATTCTTAAAACTTAATAGCCGGTATGTGTATCTACTTATCTTGGCTATACATGATTATTAACTGATGATATTGTGGGAACAACTACTCTTTGGACTACATGTCCCAGCTAACATTAAATTATATCAGCAATGTCAAGTAAAAAGCTAGTTATTAATAATTTATTGAAAATAAAAAATATATCTAAATGTTATTAATACAAAAAATAACATATTTGGCATATCGAAATTGTTAAAAAATGTAATATTTCCAGAAAATATATTGTATTCTGGTACTAATATCACCCTTGACAAAGGCTAACACATAAAAATTGCAAATCTTACCATTTTTACATTTTATTTAAAATTGACGTCGAGACGAATTTTGTCAGATTTTTCAGACTGATTTTAACTTTTCTATCCAAAATACTTCATGAATGGCCTTGAAATGACCTTGAATGACCTCTGTGTATCGTAGGGTGAACAAACCTCGGATTCGGGTTCAGTGACCTCTAAAACAAGAATGAATTTTTTCAGATTTTTGGAGGTCATTTCTTGATTTGACCTTCAAATCACCTTGAACCTGATGTGGTGGAGCTTAACCGACCTCGGATTCGTGATCAGCGACCCAAAAAACTCCTATATCCCATAGTCACTTCTGCCGATTGTCCCTAGATCAAATGTTGACCTGTGTAATTGAGGTTATGTCCATTCTGTCCAAGATTCTTTATTAATTTCCAAATAACTTTTCAGTACAATTTTAGTGATATGATGCAAAAAATTACAAAATAAATTTTCGTTATACAAATGTAAATAATTATTATTTCTTCTTTCTTTTTCATGAACACATTTAGTCATTTGAATTCGTTTTTTAATCTTCGCTCATACAATTACTCTTAATGACCTGTAGGTACGTAAAGAATCACCGGCCCAACTGTACTAATTCTTATTCAGCTTTAATTTAAAATTGTTCATTTTCTTCAGAAATGAAATAATCTGAAGCTGATGCTCTCTATTTAATTAATTTCTATTAAACAATGATCTTTAAATTGCAAGAATGTTTCTGTAAACAGATAATAAGAAGTGCCAAATGGACTTACTAAGGGGCATAAAAAATTTATAGTTGGTTGATATTTGGCGACAAAGGAGGAGGGTCGATAAGGCCGGTTTTTGGTCTAAATTTAATTTGAATGAAAATGTTCAAAATAAGTTCCTGTAGTATCTACTAAAAAAACTAAGCTTTCCACCCTAAACGGACTCCCCCCAGTCCCCCTAGTGTCCCCCAACCAGCCCTTAATAGTGAAACTACCATCACTTATTAACAGCATTTTTGGAAAGATTCGTCACTGGCAAACTAATATTTTCTTAATAATGTACTATGAACTCTATATTAACTATTTTCACGCTTATTTATCACATTTTGCCTTTTCCCCTTTGAGGAGGGTGGAGGGGATAAAAAGGCAAGGGGTGGATTTACTACACAGGCCTACAAAAAAAGGGTATCTATACTTTACATGTGACATATGATTTCTGCTGTATTTTTGTCTCCTGAACACGAATCCGTGGTCAGTTTTGCTCCATCACCCTTCAGTCTTCAGAAAATCGCTAAAAACCTTCAGAAAAATGAAGACTTTTGAGGAATGGCTGACTCTACACATGCGACATATGATATTGTGTGCTGGGTTTGGTTACGATAATAATTGAGATGAGAAATTTCTGGGAAAACCAGACATGTCATCTGAGTTCATCCGCAAACAGACAGTGTCCATTCATATTTAACTACTTTATGTTTGATTTTGAATTAACACAGCTATTTTACACATTTCTAAAATGGTCAATTATGACACTCATTTGTCTCAATTTTTATAAACAATGGGTGGCGCAGGCAGCAATTGTTTATCAGTGCAGTTTCTTATTTTTTTTGTATTTTGTGGTACATAAACATTCTGAGAAGTCCTGATTTATTAAAACAATGCTATTATAGTTTCTCAATTCATATCTGAATGGTACCAAAAGTTCAAAAGTGCAAAATTTTATACCCTTTTCAATGAAAATTCTTTTTTGTTTAATATGTAAAACAATAAATATTCACCTGAGCATAGGCACAATGTATAGTAATTGATGTTAATTTTTAATTTTGTTTCATTTTTGCTTTCTATTATCTAAATATAATATTTGTTTTTAAGGCATACCCAGGAATGGCACCTCAAGGCTATAACCCGCAAGGTGGTTGGGGTGTCCCTAACTATCAACAGCAATGGGGTAGTGGTCAACCACAAAGCAATGAACCTGCACCTGCTCAATCCGGACAAGTACAAGTTAATCCTAGTACAGGTCAGCCAGACTACTCTCTTCAGTGGGCAGAATATTATAGGTCTCTAGGTATGCATCGAGAAGCAGAGATGATTGAGCAGCAGGCTAAAGCAAAAGGTGGTAATCCTAGTGGTGCAGCTGCTCCTCAAGCCCCAGGTCCAGCAGCAGTTGCTCCTAATCCTGCTTCAGCAGCAGCACCAGCCAATGGTGGCCAACCGGACTATAGTGCTCAGTGGGCTGAATACTACAGGAGTATAGGAAAACACAAGGAAGCAGAAGCAATTGAAGCACAAATGAAAAATAAGGTTAGTTATTTTTAATTTTCATATATTTTGAGCTGATATTCAGGGCGTTCTAAAATTAATGCAACTAGGTAACTCTGGAATATAAGACATTTATAATTTAACGAAACTTAACATTTGCTACAAGGTTACAATTTTTATTTTGATTTTTGTCAGTAACTAAGGTCATTTTCGAGATATTGATCTGAACATTGAGAAACAAGTTTTCTTTAAAGAAAACATTTGTAACTAATAATATTGATGGAAACAACTAATCCATGTACTATATGCCCCGTCTGGCATAGAATTACATCCCAATATCGAGTAAATGCTAAGATAGACATTTAAAATTAAAAATATGATACATGACTTGTAAGTTATATTTGACTAATAATGACGATGTGTTCAGTATTTGTATGTAACTGCAACTGTGCTACATCTGTTATATTAATGAGCTTTTTTATGAATATGTCTTAAGCACTAAAAGTGGCTATTTAAGAAATATAACTAGTTGTAGGTTACTTACTTAAAAAATAGAACTAGTCCAGACGGTATCTGTTTAAAAAGTCCATATTTGGGTGAATCGTATATCCACGGATATTTTTGGCTTTTTGGCTTTCACATATCACTAGAAACGAAAATTTTTGTATGTGCATAAAAAACGGGCTTAACTTTTGGCAGTACGATGTTAAAAAAATTCGAAAAATGTCATATTTTTCTTCCTATTTAATTATGTATCTTTTCAAGAGTTGATTTTAGGCGAAAATGGAAGAGGAAAAAAATTTATGTAATTAAATTTTTTATAAATATGACTAGTTACAAATCGAATGAATCATGATTATTATTGTAAAAATCCAAAAAATTGCCAAAAATGGGGTTAAAAACTACTTTCTAGGGAATTTTTTTGGGGTCTTTAAATTGGGTATATGACCTTCATACTTGGCTCAAGAAAACTTCATGATATGTAGAATCATTATACCAAATTTCATCAAAATTGGTTCGATAGATTTTCCACAATAATTTTGCAATCCAGATTTTGAAAAAAATTTGCAAATTTTCAAAATTTTGCACAGCAAAATCCAAGTCCCTTAGATACTTGAAAATTTAATTACATATAGAAGGGCTCTCAATCTTTCAAACGCTTTTTGAAAAATTCGAATCCGTCAATTAGGAGATTTCTGGCGCTTGTTTAAACGTTGGTTGAATTTTTGTACTTATAAACAATTAGAATAACTTTGTGAATATTCAATCAAATCAAATTTTTTAAAGCAGGTTTTAAAAGTTATTAAGTATGAATAAAATATTATTGATTTTTTTATAATTGATTTATTAATTTAATCATTTCTTTTGTGATTTTTTTTTATGCGCATAGAAAAATTTTCATTTCTAGTGATATTTGAAAGCCACAAAGCCAAAAATCTCCGTGGATATACGATTCACCCAAACCAAAACAGATACCACCTAGTCTAAACATAAAGTATGAAACAAAAATCAGAGTAGTATATTCTACATAGAGGTAGGAATTCTAGTTCCTTTGACTGAACTAAAGGGTGTCTAAAAGTCACACAAGAAGTAATTTTGATGGAAAACGCAGGTTTTTAATTAAAAATTGTAAATTTTTTATTTCATAAAGTATATAGTATAGGTTATGTATGGAATAGCATATTGGGTAAATGGCCTTTACGGCTTTGTTGGCACATACGCATTTTTTTGTCAAAATTTTGCATGACGCATAAATACGGCTGAATTTCGTTGATACAGGGCTCAATTCCCTCCTTTAAGGCATGGATAGTCGCAGGCTTATTGGTATAAACCTTAGACTTCGAAAATCCCTAAAGAAAAATGTTCAGCACCATTAAGGGCCACTTGTTCATTGCCAGTTTAAACCTCGTTGAACGCTGAACTTCGTTCAACATACCTGACCCGCTTGTACATGAGTTGTTCAGCATTTGAACTACCGTTAACCTCCCGTCAAAATAAACCACTGTTAGCCGCAGTTTAAGAGCCAGTCAAACAAAAGCTAACCTTAAAAATTGTGACTGCTACCTAGCTGTTATTGTCTGTATAGTGAATACTTATTTATTTGTTGCAATTTGTTTTGAAAATAGCAAAAAATTATGAAAATATAACCGACGACGAAGATTTTTTGGAATTAATGGATTTGTTTAAAAACTGAGGAGCACAAAGAATTTATATAGACAAGAAGAAATAATTTTGATATGTGGACAGAAGATGAATTTCGAGAACGGTATAAAATCGAAAATACTGTTAGGTTTTTAATCAATGAAATATCGGAGGATATCCAATCGAACGTCTCAGTTGGTGTCATATATTTTGAATGTTATATAATATGGTATTTTTTTTAGAATTCATAGTTTATCTGCAGCAGATATGGTTTTAGTGACATTAAGATTCTTGGCAGCTGGTTGTTTTTTAAAAGTTTCTAGAGATTGTCATGGTATTCAGGAGAATACTGTTAGTAGAGTAGTGAATAAATGATTAATAGATTTAAAAAATATTTATTTAGATCAGGTATCACCTTGTTTTTTGCATTTCTTCAAATTCTCATATTTGTTTTTTAATGTCTTTGTATCCCTAAATGTTTCTCCACACAGAGCATTAAAAGTAAAGTCTACCCATATTTCTATTTTTTTTTTTTTGGTTAATTACCGTATTTGTTTTTGTAGCATCACTACACCCTTATGCAAGGTGCCGATAAATTGCCCTCCTATGCTACATTGGCCGAGAGTACGCAACCATATGAATACAAGTAAATAGGTAATGAAAAAATAATAATTTGTAAACAGGACTCACCAATTGTTGGCAGGTAATGGGAAAAAACTTGAAAAATGCTTTCACTTTTCGTGACCGGCACCACGGGTTTTTTATATGTGTTCTTTCGCGTGTCGTATGGACTCTCTCTCTGGCGTACATCACTTTTTCGCCACTGTCGAGCCGTGCCGCTCATCGCAGCATGGTAAGCGGGGCAAGGATAAGGAACTTGGCAAAGTCACAAATCCAACCAAATTAAAAGTGAACAAAAGTTGAGGAACTCGTATTTGCATGTATGATTAAAAATGTAGTATATTTTAATAATATTATTTGTAATATTTTAATGACCCCCCAGAAAATTAAACCCATGACCAAAAAAAAAAAAATATATTATAGTAAAGAAAATTCTTAAACTTATATGCACAAAGGGTGGACAAACGGAACAGTTTTCTTACATTCTCTTATTTCCTTGTATTTATATACAACATCTAATAATATTCTTTCCTCATTTTTGCTGAAATTATTTGAACATTTGTTGTTGTTATTACTTGCCAATTTTAAGTTCTTTTGAACTACCAAGAACGAAGTATTTATTGGTATTTAACAATATGGGAAATCAACACCACACTAAAAAGTACCAAAGCATCTGCTTCAAAGCTGTTAATCTATTTTTTTTTGTTTACATACTTTATTGCACTTTTAAATTATTAAATAATCTGATACAATAGTTTTAACCTATCCTTAATTTAACTTTTACTACTAACACTGACAACATAAACAATAAGTAACGTCAACGTGACGTGAACAATGACATTAATAGCAGAGCATGTCAAAAAATATGCAAATTGTGCATGCTTGCAGTAGTGGCAACTTCATAAATATATAACATTTCTAAGTTCAAGTGACCCGGTGTTGAACTGTACTTGTGCAAAGCAAGCTTTTTTGAACGGTAGTTCACAGTTAACTGGAGTTCAGCTGAACGTAGTTTAAACTGAGAAATGAACAAGCCGACCTAAATCACATGATCTGGGCAGTCTACTCTTTATCACCAAATCGGGGAATTACTCGACCAGGCAATGACTCGTGCAGTAATTGAATTGTTTCTCGGGCTGTATGGCATGTGGTACCGTCTTGTTGAAACGACATGCCGTCTGCATCCATATCTTGCAATTTAGGCACAAAAAACTGGATTATTACGTCGCCATATTTTCGAAGAAGAATGATCCGATGATGCCTCCAGCCCTAAATCTACACGAAACAATGACACACGGATGCATTTGTTTCTCAACAATCACTCATGGATTCTCTGTACCCCAAATGCGACAATTTTATCTCTTAACGAAGCCAAATGGGCCTCATAGTTGAAGATAATTTTGTTCGAAAAATCAGCATCCACTTGTTGCATAATCCATTCAACGAACTCTCTTCGCTCTGCTAAGTCCAGTCTCTTGGAATTATTCTGTGGGAAAATTGGGAACTGAGCGCCAAACCATTATTTTTAAAATATTGCTCAACAATGAAAATGCATACTTTTATGTAGCGCTTCATTTTTAATTACTCTTGAACTGTGAGCTGTCACACTGTCTTTTTTGTTTAATTACCGTACAAATGATGCAAAATTCAAATCTTCCGTGAATTTTGGGACACCCATTAATTCACTCTCTCTTGGAACTAGTTCTTTAGTGGATTTTATTGATAATGGATATAATGGAATACATAAACTCTATGTATGTTGAAAAACTAGAGTGTTTGTAATAATGGAATTCATAAACTCAGATCTATTGAAAAACTAGTTATAATAATTCAACAGATACCGTTTTGACACAAATATTATTTTTTGTAAGCAGAAAATCAGTAACACACAAAACTAGTACGACGTCACACAATTATTTACATATGTCAATAACATAACCTCATTAGTGATCTAAGGCTGAGGGTTGGTGCTTCTGAAATTCGCGAAAATTAGAACATGTTCTAATTCGTAAAGAACTTCATGAATAAATTCATGAAGTTATTTAACATCAAATTTGGTACATTACACTTGGCCATTTTTTCACGAAGCAACTTCATGAATTAATTCATGAATAAATTCATAATGTAAAACAGCAGTTTAGAAACATTTATTTGTATGTGAAGATGAATATCACAAATTTCTTTCATGTGTTCTTCTTGGCAATTAATATGTTATACTTCATTATTAATAGCCAAAAACATGTACCAAATTTGTTAATGATGCTTTAACCAGTTTAGATGATTTTTAAAGAATCAACAGGTCGTCTTCACCTTATTATACCTTTGTAAGGAGTTGGAATTGACGTTGTAGAACTTTGACAATCAAATTAAAGTACATGCTGTACATAATTTTGTATTCTGAGATGAAGTTGGTAGTGCCAACAGTTGCCAATAGTGGTAGCAGTTGCTTAATGCAGTTCTACACTATACTGGATTTAATTGCAATGAAACTGTAATGTAAATATACGAGATGAATTGTATGCTGGAGTTGTTTATGGCGACTATGATTTATCTTTAGAGTTGCTAGAAAAATAGTTTTGAATCAGAAGCTTCAACGTATATCCTCTTTTATATTTCCCCTTTTGCAAAAAATTATTCACAAAAAAAAATAAGAAGCGATCTTATTTAATGCAGCAACCATTAACTTAAAATTTGTTGGAATAACTTCAGTAAAACATCAAATGCAGCACAAATGGTTCTTCTTAGGAACTACATTATAATTTTGCGTAAACTGACGCCACAGTATACATCATAGAAGAAACTTTTGTATTTATCGATTTTTGAAAAAGGACCCCGCAACTATCCTTATGGAAAACCGGTCCCAGTCGAATGGTACGAAAATTTGTTGACTGATAGTCCTCAATATGTTGATCTAAAAAGTCTATGGGATCTAGGTGAAAAACTACTGTTTTGAAGCTATAGCCTTCTGAAGTTATCGAATCCATGTGCTCGATGACCATCAAGTCAAGTTTTCTGAAGGTGCTTCAGCTATTTTCTGAAGACTGAGGAATGCTGCAGATATGCTGATGACGGATAAGTATTCAGCAAGCAAAACATAAGATATCGCTCAAGCAGTACGTGACCACGGATTCACATTCAGTACACGAAAATACATTAAGAAATAGCCAGCTTGGTCACTTTATAAAGAAATATTTGCTTTTACTCCCCTGTAAGGCCGGTATCCCATGCATCCGAATTCCGACGATACGAAGGTCCGAAAGTGTTTCTATTGGTTAATATACATTCAAATTTTTACCGCTCATTTTCATCCGAAATTTTTAAAATTCATGCGACGTCGGAAAAAGTAGAAATAATTTTAACTTTTATCCGAAATCGTATGTTTATTAACCTCACTTTTTAAGTTTTTAACATACTATGATTGTTGTTTGATATATTTACAGTCAAATAAATGTTATATTATAATGTCGAATGTAGAAAATATAATATTACGTATATTTTCTATAATATATACCTATGGTTGTCATTTGAAAATGTTTCACCTTCATCTTGTAATAAATTCCATGGTTCTATACTTGATTTCTATGAGATTAATTTCGGATGCATGTGAATTATAATATTATCATTCGTACGAATTAAAATATTTTCGGATATCGTACATCGGATTTCGGATGCATGGGACACCGGCCTAAATCATTGGACTTGATGGTCATCGAGCATGTGGATTCAATAACTTCTGAAGGCTGTAGCTTCAGAATAGTAGTTTTTCAGACCTAAGTCCCATGGACTTTTTTTGATTGACACATTGAGGGACTCATTCGGTAAAGTTTTGTACCGGGACCGGTTTTCCATAAGGATAGTTGCGGGATCCTTTAAATTTATTAATTGTTTTTTCTTAAGAAATAATTTGATGGAAATATGCACAAGAAATATTTTTGTTTCCTAAAAATAGTAAATGTGTGCCAAATTTTAATTCATATAAAGTGTTGACTAGTGTTCTTTTTAACTGTATCATATTGTAACAGCTAAAAAAGCATTTTGATTATCAAAAATACTAAATGTTCACCATATATTTATTTCAAGCTTTCATTTAACTTCACATGCATGCATGTTTGTTTGTTTGTTTGTTTTTATGTTTAGTTCAAATCTTGCAAGCCAAACTTGAACCACTTCCTCTAAACTTACAATTTTGAAATTTTGCATGCTTATTCAGTTCTGACGACAATACACTAAAATGATAGAAACAACCTGATATTGCGGTCAGGATTGTCTTCTCATGAGGGCACTCCTCAACGATTAGTAGCAGAGGCGTTACTTGAAATGGATAGATTGAGAAATATTTATAAAAAAGTGTAAATAAATGAAAAGTAAAAAAAAATATTTTAAAAACAAACTTTTATTAAAATGCAGTAAAAAGTAGAAAATAAACCAAGGAGTTCATAAAACCCATGTTGTGTAAACCCCAAACCCACAAAAGGGTTGAATATGACTGATCTATAGAAGTGCCAGCAGCAAAAGTATGATAAATACACATGTACTATCTATAATCAGTATGTTCATGTTCTTATGCGATTTAAAAGCTTTTAAAAAAATTATTGATTAGGCATAAAATATAAAAATAAAAAACTTCTCTGTCAGGTGGTTTTCGAAATTTTTTCATACGATACTTTTGTACACTGTTTATCATCCAATAAAATTATAGTCAGTTTTCAGATCCATATCTTAAAAACCACACAATACAATGTTATTTTTAATATATTTAATGCAAATTCGATTTGTTTTAGGGAAGCGTGTCACAACCAGGAGCAGGTGCACCCGCAGGCACACCAACAGCGGCTCCAGGACAAGCACCTGCAGGTAGTTACCAACAACCTTACGGTGCATATCAACCTCCCGCTGGTGCGTTTCATTTACTTATTTTTTAATTTTGATCATAATCATCATTAATTAGTTAACTTGTTAAATATTCTTAAAATTTTTCTTATGTGCAGGTTATTATGGTGGCCAACCGCAAGCACCCGTGCCAGGTGGTGTAGCACAAGGAGGTTATGGTTTTCCAGCCTATGGGTATGGTGGTCAACAAGGAGGTGCCCCCCCAAACTCACAGGATAATTAAAATTGGTGTTACGTGAGTATTTATTGTTTAATCCCTATTCTTATAATTTATCTACATCTTATATATTTGCTTATGATTATCTACTTTGGAAAACAATATTTTTCTGCCTATTTATTGCATTACAGAAAATGATACACATTGTATATGTTGCCTATATTTTATTTTATACTTGTTTTTTTGTGTTTCTTTTGTATTTCAGGAGCATTTACTAATTTCAAATGCATACTGGTATTTTTATAAATTGTTTTCATTGTAGTGATAACATTTTTAATGTTCTGTCAGCACATTATAACTATTTTTTATAAACATCAGAATGAAGGAGGAAATGAACCTATTATAAAATACATTATTTCTTGATAAATAGAGAACTAAATAAATTATTTTCAATCTTAAGTGCAACTCTTAAGTAAAGTAAATTTTTTGTATTAATATTTTGGGTCTTTAGATGTATTTTTTCTTCTCTGATATTGATTGAGATGTTTTAACTACATAATAGATTTTTTGTTCCCGGGTAACTAGTTATATCTCGTGTTAAATAATAAAGTTATTAACGAAGTGGATTAATTTAGGCATTTTGTCCAGTGTGGCAAAAGTCATATAAGTTTAATTAAATATTTATACGGGATACTTCAATACTGCCTTTGAGATATTTTGATCAATTAGTCAAATAAATGTGTACCTTCTTAAAATTATGCAACAATGCTCAAAGTGATACTTAAATACCCAGGAAATATACTTGTAAATATGAGTGGATTAAAGTACAAGGTATATTTAGTTATTTGTCAATTTTGTTTTTATTAATTCGATAATATGTGTGATAACTGATAAGTAGTATCTACGTCAAAACACTGTTTGAATAATAATACACGTGCCAAAATGATCACTCAAGTGTTGTTTTTTTACTTTTGTTTCGAAAATTGGTCATTCATTTTGTTTTAAAAATTATAATGAACTTTTTTTTATTAATAAAAACTAAATTTATTTAAAATTAATCATCCTTAATTATTGTAGTTTCGAAAATGAAAAAGATCGCTTGGACCAATTTTCGAAGCACTTTTTCTATTTCGATAGAGGTAGCTCCGAAACATGCATTTTGAACTGCTTCTTCAAGCTTCGAAAAATGTTGACCACATAATTTATTTTTGATGTATAGGAATAAAAAAAGTCATTGGATGCCAAATCAGGACTATACGGTGGATGGCTCATCAAATCGACTTTTTCACTTTACAAAAAATCTCGTTTGAGCCGATGTGTGAGAGCTCGCATTGTTCTGGTGGAGCATGTTGCGTCTTTGGTGGTCGATTTCTCTTATTTTTCTATAAACTTCTGGCAGACAAATGTTTGTGTACCATTCCGGATTGACATTTCGATGTTGCACTAATTGTACAATTACGATATGTCCAGTTTTTCTGAAAAAAAACATGCTTAAAAGCGACACCAAAAATGCTTCGTGCGTGAACAACTTTTGTTGGATTTGACTCATCTTGAACCCATACAGTCGACTGTTGTTTACTTTCGAGCTCATATGCATAAATCCATGATTCGTTACCTTTTACGATGCCATAGGCGTGTTTTGAAGCACGCGATCATATTTCTTGAGCATTTGTTTCGACCAATCGAAAGGAATCTTTTTTTGAGTGTTTGTCAAATTATATGGGATCCAACACAAACAAATTTTTTTGGTGGTCTAATGGTCATGCAATATTGAATGTATTCTGGTCCCAGTAATGCCCTCAATCTCACGAAAAGTTACATGATGATGTTGCAATATCAGTTCACATACAGCATCAATGTTTTGTGGAACTACCAATTTTGTACGACCTTCACGAAATTTGTCAGTGAGCGAACCACGGCTACGATTGCATTCCATATGCCACCAATATACAGTGGTTTTTGATAGTGCTTCATCGGCAAAAGTTGAATTAAGTTCATTGATTCACTATTGTTGAGATAATCCACATCGAATTTTGTAAAAAAAAAAATCCCACGGAAATGTTCACGCCTTAATTCCATTTTTCGGACGAGATAAATTTTTCAAGTCACTGAACAACACAATTAGTACTGAGTAAGTAAAGTCGAACTTTACGATAGGGACGTCGGTTGTCAGATGGCATCACCTGGATCATCCATTCCCAAAATACAAAAGGCAACCCTCGTATATAGTGTGTTTAAAAAATAGATATTTTTTAAAGTATTTGGTTAAAACATCTTGAACTATATTAGAGGTTTTTCAGACATTGAAACACTTATCACCTATTTTGCTTATATACTTATTTTCAGTTATCAAAAATATGAGGTAATGTATAATTTAATAAGTATAATTGATATTCGTTATATTGTATATGAGTTAAACCATATTTTCAATGTAGACAATATAATTATTTTATTTGTTAAAAAGCGATTGTGCAGACAGGACATTAAGTTTTTCAGGTGGTGTGTAAGCAGGGAGATATCAGATTTATATATTTACAGATTTTAAATATGGCTCCAAATTCAACTATCCACAGGAGAATGATTTCTTATTGATTAAGAAAATTTTAACATCTGTCTTAGTTATAAGCAACCATATTTTATCAGCGGTGTGCCAGCCTATAGAAAACTTCGTTTAAAGAAATCCACAATAGATTTAAATAGAAATAAGCTATTTTTGTTCATATATATTATAAAACATTGGAAATTGCTTCCAATAAAATATTTGAACTCAGTATTTATTTATTAGGTTTTTATTGTCCCTCTTGTATTTTTTACAGTTTTAAGCTTCAAGTTTTTTGCTAATATAACAATTTTTTTCTGGATTGTTTCTGTTTTTATTCACATTATATGACATTTAACTTTACCACTATTATTATATCGTAATTTTTATAGTCTGTAAGTTAAACAATACTTGTGTGTTAGATTATTTGTAGGGAATGTCAGACAAATGTGTGGACAACTTTCTGGAGGTAGGAGCTACAGTTTGGTAAGACTATAATAAAAATTATTGACTTTGTATGTTATTACCGCTATCGGTTTCATGACTCATTATTCATCCGTCTATGTTTGAAGAAAATGTTTAACACCCATCTGCATTTAATCGTGCAATATCCATTCCGTATTTTATAACTATTTTCTTTAATCATAATATTTAAAATAGTTTATGATCTACAAATATATTAAATATTTGTGGATATAAACTGTGTTGGTTTCATCGGAAACCCGATAGAAAGAAATACTTCTTATTTGTCTGTTGCGGCAGTATATGTAATTTGGTTTTTATTTCTGATTATATTGTAATTTACTATGTACGGCAGTTAGACTGCAATTGTATAATTTTGATTAAAAATAACCTTGACACTACTTGTGTTTGTTGTTTTTGTTATATTTGCAGATTCCTCACTACAATCAAGGTAAAGTATATTTATCAGAATGTCCACTGTTATCCTAGTCATTTTTTATAATTGCAAGATTTTTTTATTACTATATTTATATTTTATTACAAGTTCTATAATTGCATTTTTCTATTTGTGTTGTTATATATTGACGTTCTTCTTAATTTTATATCACAATTTATCGTTATATTATGTGCTTATTATCTTCAAGGGTACTGGTATTAGTTCTTAGTGTGACATAATTGACACTGATGTTGTATATGTGTATGTCTTATCCAATTTATTTCTAAAGGTTTCTTTAATATTTTTAAACATAAGTTCACCACATAATTATATATTTTAATGCCCTACCAAACATTAAAGGAACGTGCAACCTCTCCCCATATCTGCTTATATTCACACTTACATTTATATTCATATAGATATTCTGAAAATATTACAGGTGTTCTTTTTGCACTTTATAATAGAGATATAATTAATCCCTGGTACTTTACGTTATCATATTTTCTTACTTTTGTTAGGTTCCAAATCATCTTTATTACTAATGTTCAGTTTTTTAAACAATGAGATGTTTCTAGTTCTAGAGTACAGGTTGAGATCAGGGAAGTGTTTCTCTTATCATTATTTATTTGATTAAATTTTTAAATGTCATTCCTTTCCTATAAAAAGCGCATTAGTTTACAATTTTAAAAATACATTTACGACGTACTCCTTTTATATGTGACTGCTAAAATTATTGCAGAGATAAATGTATCGTCAGTTTTTCAAATTCGGTTTTTCAGTTTCCATCTGATTATCTTAAGATTATCTATTAAACAAATATGTAATTGTTACTTGGAGTTAGACAATATAGTGAAGTTTGATTTGAACATAATAAAATTAACTCATAGTGATCTAGTCATACCATTCTCTTTCTTTGAAACCTTAAGAATAACAAGGACAAAGATAGTAATCTCTGTACCCTCAGAGAATTTTTGTAAACCCCTAATTTGGTAAACATTAACATGCTTAAATGCAGCTGTATCAATAGTTTTGGCAAACATAAGTATGATAAATTTAGGAAAATCGTTGCTGAAACCAGAATATATGTGTTCGCCAAATTGATTTTGAGCTTTTTCTTTTAAGGAGGTTCGATACCGAAAAAAAAATGGTAAGAAAGTTTTCAAAGCAACTGAAATCTGTTAATAAATATGCAAACTGCCTCGTGTAAAAATATCAGATCGATTGCCAATGTAGTTGTTTTGAAAAATGATATTAAAAATTATGCTCTTAGACACAAGCTCTTATGGAAGTTGGGGAAAAAACTTTAATCAAACGTGAATATTTCTCTTAAAAATGGTTAGGATCGGGAAAATAAAATTGTAATTAAAGAATTAAATATTACTGAACATTTTAAAACAATAAAAATATACACTTACAATGTAATTATTGAGATAATGGAATGAATATATAACGTTTTGACAAATTTAAACAAACATCTAATCCAATGAAAGGAAATCTGGTAACACTGTACGCTGTATTTAACGCTTCAACTGACGTGCTATATATGAATAGCTCGATTATAGACTATAAAATTATTCCAGTTGAAAACATATGTAATAGTAATTAATATTAAATAAGTTTTTCGTGATCTAATGCAATATAATAGCAATTTGAAACAAAAATTTAAAGGATCTCTTTGCAAAACGAACAGTATAGATGTTCTGTCATAATCTTCAATTTGACAAGGCAACGTCTCGCTATCATACACTGAACTTCTTGATAGTTGTCATATTCAAAGATACATAAATTTAGAACAAGCTGAAAGTGAGTAAAGTTGTTCAAAACATAATTAAAAATAACATTAAAATTCCTCATCGTTCCGGTACTCGGAAAAAAATTTACTTGAGGTCAAAGGTCAAAAAAATGGGTTTTTCGCGATTTTCAGCTAAATGGTAAGTTTTATCATAAAATTACCTCAGACAAAAATTGTAGATCATAAAATTATATATAAAAAATGTATCAATACTTTTTTCCTAAGAGCCACCGTTTCTGAGATATAACGATTCGACCTTGGTCGAACAGCAGTCATAATACTATGGCAAATATTTGTGCATATTAATTTTAAATGATCTAAATTTAATCGTTTATTCTTTAAAATCACTCGTTCCAAAAAATATGTCGACGACTCTGGGATTTCATTGTTTAAATCTTCAAACATGCGACCTGGTGGAGGGTAGTTAGAATTATCAAACACTGCGGATTGAATATCTTTGCGAATGATAGCTGCAGCTGCTTCTAGGATTCTGAATCGTTCTTCTTTTTTATTCATTTTTTTTTTCGTACCAGACTTGATTCAAAATATCATGATTGTCTCTTAAGCTATAAATGTTGATGCTACAGATTTTTCAGTGATAATAAGTTTATCACCATACTTAAGTTTTAGTCGTAGGTACCTTAATCGTCCTGTAATCTAAAGTTGTATTTTTGCAAACATTTCTTAGTTCGTTCAAAGTGAACTGATATTCTCATAGTTATACTTATGTATATTTTATATTTTAAGTATAAGTTGCAATCACCGATGGAAAAATATTTTTACTTATATTACAGCTTCAGAGATGTATATATGTGGCATACTTATGCATATTATGACGATTACAACTTTTTGAATCGTTATATATCAGAAACGGTGGCTCTTAGGAAAAAAGTATTGACACATTTTTATAGATAATTTTATGATCTACAATTTTTGTCTGAAGTAATTTTATGATAAAACTTACCGTTTAGCTGAAAATCGCGAAAAACCCATTTTTTTGACCTTTGACCTCGAGTAAATTTTTTTCCGAGTACCGGAACGATGAGGAATTTTAATATGTTATTTTTAATTATGTTTTAAACAATTTTACTCACTTTCAGCTTGTTGTAAATTTATGTACCTTCACTCTTATTTTTTGGTCTAATTTGACCAGACTATTATATTACTTTTCAGTCATTACTTTTCCTTTGTACCTTGGATGTTCATTCATGTTTACGGAATACGCGCAAAGTTGACGGTAATGACAGTTGACCCAACTTTTACTACCATGCCATGGCAATGTTGCTAGATTTCATCCATAATTTAACAAGCTCTTAATGAATAAATAGACACTTTTATTCAAATAAAAAGTTAATTGCCGTGCATTAAATACGAAAAATATATGCAAGCTAATATGTGTTGTATAAATTTCATTCGTAGATATTATATTTAGTTCGCCCAAATTAGTTTATGTAAGGTTGGCACTACAACGAAAATATCGTGTATAAGCATAGGCTTCCCTCCCGCACCGCCTGCCCCGCAAGAGATGTATCGAACCTCCTTAAGTGAGCTATTAGGTAAACTTCAAGCTTTTAAAACTGAATTATTTTGAAAAATTTTTAGTGGTTGAATACTCTAAGAAAAATCTTAGGCTATATAGATATATTACAATTAAACACCAATAAAGTATAATTAATGACATTGTTGACAACAAATTTTCAGTTTTGCAGTTTTATTTTATGGGTATATATTTATACTCTATTATAAAGGTATTAAGGCTGGCATTTTATAGACAAGAAATCACACTTTTAGTAAGACAATGATAGAACAAGGGAAGTGTCAAAGCAACTAGAGCAACCTCTTTTAATTTTTTGCATAGAAGGATCACGGAGAACATATAAACATCAGAGAATGTACCTTTCCCGTTTTGTCCTGCAAATTTGTAAAGATACTCAATAATAAAAGCATTCTGCACGGTGTGTTTATATTTACAGTACCATACGTGTTTTTCTGTGTGTTCAACAGGCGTGCAAAATTCAGGAAACGTAAGATAAACATATGGGGTAAAAATATGCTTTTTTCCCTTATTTTGTATGTATTGCCAGTAGTCTTATACCCTGAAGAAAACTTATTTAACTGGTACTGTGACGAGATATTGTTTCTAACTTGCTTACATTTTCTAAAATGCTGGACAAAAAAATGCGCATATAAATGCCTTCCTTCAGCTAACTCAAATAAATGAGAAAAAAAAAATCCAAAATAAATCCTGTTAAATGAAGTAAATGTTCTTCGATATCAAAACTATGCAAAATGTAACTGTTGATTTTGTGGAAAATAACTATATGGGCTACATGCCACCATTGGAATTTACTTATACCAGCAATATCTAGTAAATAACTAGTAATTAATAAATACATGGCCACAAAAATTGTGGGTGGGCAGTGGACTAGACCAGTGTATTCCCCAGTATTTTAACCCGCTTAATCTGAACTTCGTCAGAATTCTCAGATCAGTTTATGTTTTGACCCCAACATCGAGAAATTTCTCTAGAAAGTAGTAGGAAAAAATATTGGAATTAAGAATTTCATCAGCTTTTTCACTGATTGGATGACCAGAGCATGATTCATCTTTCACATAAAAATTACAAAACGAAAGTGCAGCAGATTTTGTTAAAGTACCTTCACCGTTTGTCGTAACAGTATTGCAAAATATAGCGCAACTTTTCATTACTTTTGTCCAATTTCAAATGCAACAACTTTCCAACCACTGCATCAATTTCGAAGTAATGCTCGAAGTGTCACCTTTCCAATGAGCGCTGCGATTAGTGCGTCAGTTATATGCAATTGATGCCGTCTATCGGGAAAAGTGTCATGAACTTTTTTCCAGATCTAATATATCCTTTGCGTACTTAGATTTTGAGTACGAAGAGCATTGTTTGATTTCCATTTTATAGCATTCTTTTGGAATTTTTAAAAAATTTATTTGAAGTAGCTTAATACCTTCATAATAAAGTAAAAAAACGAAAGCTAATAGTATAATATTTTTAAACAGAAAGTGAGTATATACTTGACATCAAATATCGTAAACTAAAAAAGGATTAGGTAAATTGATTTAAAAAATTGGAGGAATATTTTATACAACTTGTAAAAACTAAAAATTTAAAGGCATATATTATTGAATAAGCTCGAGAAATTTCTAATTTTATGATTAACTAAAATTTGCAATCCTACTATGTGCAAAAAGAACATCATAAAAATTTATGTAAGTATTTCCATATAAATATCATTGGCATAGACAGATAATTTTAAATTATGTATTACAAATTACAGATTAATATGGATCAATTTTCTGTTACTGTCTAGATCGCCTGGCTAAGTTACATTTTGTCGTACATTTACCACTTTCTGCATTTTATTTGATTACTGAATATTCTTGCAGATTTCCTTAGGTGCATTTTTTGTTTTTTCAATAAGGTATATTTTTCCAGATGATAATTTGACGTATTTTGCTGATGAATCTAGAAAACAAATTATTTGTAAATATAATAATTATCTATGGTATATATTATTTATCTTGTGGTTTTAACTTTTTCTGATTATGTGGTTTTGATCTTCCAGGCTATTTACAGTTTAATCAATAACCTACAGATGAGACAAATAAGGTTTACTGTCCTGCAGGAGTTCTGCCTTACAGATTTACCTAAACACCAGTGAACTGAAGCTGGATTAATAAGTGGGTCTGATTAAAGTAGTGTTACATCAGTTTTATACAGCTGTGACTAATGTATGTAACACTGATATAATTCTTATTCCCCAAAAATGTTCCCTACTTTTATAATATATAGCTGTATACCTACTATACATATCTGAGACATTTTGTTTTGTCGCTTGTTAAGTTATGAAAGTTAGAAAACATAGCTCTGATTTATCACATACTGTGAACATTTTTTTTATAAATCAATTAATTTGTGCATCAGTGGCGGCTTACTCTAGCGAATCTAAAATGGCTATAGAAATTTTTTAGATTCAATTTACTGATAACAACTACCCCAGGGTAAAAACTATTAAAAATAATGGGGATATAAACATTTCTCAGTCTCAACCATTTCTGAGGTAATGGTGTTGGAATTGCAAAAATAACGAAAATATTTAATCAAATAGAAAATATTTAGATTGATGGAATTTAGTGACTAGACTAGTGATACTTGTATAACCATTGGTTTTATAAGCTTTGCCATAAATAAAGTAGGGTAGTACACAAAGTATTTTAAAAGTTATTAAAAAAATCGATTTTCAGGGCATCCTTTTTTTTAAATAAACACTTCTACACAACCACTTATACTCCAAATACCATTCATTCCGAAACTTTCGAACGTACACGTCTTTTGACTCCCTTTTTTCCAAATCGAGAGAATAAGGCATAGGTCTCTCGCAATTTAAAAAATCCTTTTTGCCTTCAATTTTCCATCTGGAAAATGGCATTTCCAATAAAATACATACTGGATCATACATAGGAAACATTTCTGCAATTATTATACAAAACATATATTAACTAAGAACCGTTATAATCGTGCACTAGGGGACGTGTATTATATAAACTGTTAAAGGCAGGCAATGGGCGATGCTGCTTCAATTTCTGCGTCACTCGTTCCCCCAAGCCGCAGTTTAATCCAGAGTTGGCCGCCTCGTCACCATGACGACCGCCATAAACAACGCTATGAAGAGAAGCAGAATACAGACTAATTTCAATCACTTGCGTATACTATATGTTGTATGGTATGTACGAGGTTGATGTTCGCGCTCAACGAAGGCAATGTTTTTTTAGAAGGCATTCACCGCGCAACTATTTATTTCTGCATATTAAACAAACAAACACGATACATTTTCAATATAGAATTAATCTAAATTATAAAATTTATATAAAATTAAAAATAATTTTAAATTGCACAACCAAACGGAAATCATCAAATTCAACTTAAATTTTTTGTGATATTTTTAGTGTGGGGAGAGATTTTCAGAAAATGAAGTTTTATGTTAATTAACTTTATATTCTATAAAAAAGGTGTGTTGCATATTGCTAAAAGGACACCATTTGAGGGTATTCTAATCTGATAAAATGTGACTTGCTAAATTTGCAGTATTATAAAACTTTATAAATTAGATCAACTTATCTCTATTTGAAGGTCAATACCTACTTAGATCGGGAGCGTATTTTCCTAAGGACGTAGGGGGCGATTGCCCAGGATGGCCTTTTCCAGAGGAACGGCCGATCATATTCGCCCAGGGTGCATAATTTAGAAATACATGCATGACTAAGATAGTATCTATGTTGCTTTGAAAAAAATCTAAAATCAAGAAAAATGGTTAAAATTAAAATTAAAATTTTGCACACATACTGTTCTTTATTATGAAAAACAATTTTTAATAACATTTTGTGAAAAATCTGGACTGAAACAGAAATAGGGTTCATAGCAGTAGGGAAAAGTCGGGGAATTTGTTATTCTTCATAAAGAACAGGGAATAGTCGGAATTTTAAAAATATTCATGAGTCGGGGAATTTGATGTTTCCAACTAGAAATTTTGTGAAAGCCGGCCCTGGGTTCTTGAAAGAAAAAACTATTTGTGGTTTTGAAACCTTTGTAAGAGGTTGTTAGGGTACCTATAAAAAAGATTATGGAGTCCAGTCGAGAAAAAATTTAATGCATAAACACCAATTAGTATGTAAAAATGAACTACAAGTGACCTGGATTTTTTTTTATGTCGGGGAAAACCTGGAAAAGTCAGGGAATTCTTTATTACTTTTGAACTATGAACCCTGAGGAAGTCAAAGTTGGCCAAGACATTGATATTTTGTACACTTATTCAGTTTTTTATACTGAAAATCTTTTCATAATAATGTCACGCAAGTTGCTCTTACTGGTGAAAAATATAAGATTTTTCTAACAATACTTGTCCCCCTTATTTATAATACAATTTGTGTTTCATGATAACTGTGCATGTATAAAAAGAAATACAAGTTTTAAGGAATTTTTCTTTTTCAACTTATTTTGACTAAAAATAAAACCAAGACTTGTTTTTGAAGAAATAAGATAGTTAAAATAAGTCACATTTAAACAATGATTGGGTGATGTTTTATGGCATTGTTAAGATATAACGAACTTTTGGGCATAAATCATCATCTTAGCATCAGCAATCTTATAATTTTCTGCTTAGTTTTTTTATGTAGTACTTTGGCCCATCTAAAAAATATGGACGATTTTTTGTCTAATTATTTCTTTTTATAATTAAGCACCTAATGCTAAGAAATAGCGCTTTTATTGTAATCAAAATTAACAATGTTATTAGCCGCCACTGTATTGCATTTTCAAAAAACAGTAAATTGATGATGGTATTCTTTACAGAAAGCATATATTATGTGATTCTTTATTTTATTATTATAAAGTTTGCCTACCTGGATATTTACAACATTTTAACACAGTTTTAATATTTCAAATATTTAATGGAGATATATCTTGAGAGGTTCTCTTTTTGAATGTATTAACTTTAATAATTGATAGAGAACTTGATGAAAAAATTCATGTGAACATAGGTTGTATATCACTTCCTAACCTAGATACAGGGTGTCGAATTTAAATTTTTTTATAATTTTTCTTAATATCGAAACTAATAGTGAATCAAATTGGGTACGTCTTATAGCGACATAATGCCCTTTAAGAATGACCTGTAAATCTTTTTTTAAACAGAATTTCTACATTGAGTTTTTTTTACTTTATGACATTTTCCGAATACCTGATCAATTTCAAACAAAAAGCTGTACTCTGTTGCTTTTCATCGTATTCTAAATGGAGTGAATCTCATTAAAGTCCTCATGTAGATTATAAAAATTTTAGTTGAATCAAAAAATTTTTATTACAATTTTTATAAAGCCAAAAATGTGTTAGGATGTTTTGAAAACATGAACTTAAAAACAAACAGTAAGTACAGAAGAATACAGTAGTAAGCAGAAATTAAAATATGTTCAACATATAAGTGGCATCTACACAACAGTGATTTTGTTAATCTTGATAAAAAAACTGGCACAGTGGACGCAGCAGCATTTTGAATATATTGTATTAGTTTCTCCCTTGTATTTACTGGAGAAGAGTATACCTACTCTTTCATATAACCCAGACAAAGTAATTAAGATATTAAAGTTCGTGGACCGTTGAGGCTATGATATAGGGTCTCCTATGCCTATCCATTTATCTTTTGTTGCCAGCGAAAATGGTATGCCTGCAAATATTTGTGTCGCAATGTTTTCCAAATAGTCATCAAAGAAATTTGCAGTTGCCAATTAGCTCTTCGCATGCTTAATGAGAGTTGTTTCTCAAATGTATTTAAAATTAATTTTTCTCTGTTTCCGTTTCAAAGCTGTTGGGTGCCTATTTGTTCACATTCTTACACCAAATTCTCTTAGCTGGCGATTAATATTAATAAATACTGTGTGTGACTTCCATCTATCGGCAAACTTCCTATTTCTTATTTGGTGTTTTCATTGCAATACCTATAAATAAAATGGATGCCGGCATAGTTCATTAATATATTTATAGAGCGGTTTGGTATATTAACAAGTGAACGGCACTTAAAATGTGAATGGTACTGACAGTTACTATAGTTACTAGTAACAACAAGTCCATCACCTACTAGATCTACCTGATTCAACTAAGATTTGGTGTAACTTTATCTACACCAAAAGAGTTTTATGCTATTTACTCAACTCTAATTTTATCACAATTTTGAAAGTACAGATTTTCATTTGAAATTGATCAGCAACTCAAAAATAAAAATTTTAAAGCATAAAATTCTGTAAAAAGGGGCATTGATTACCTGTCTACTACACCACTGGTGGTAGTAGTGAATAAGATATACCCAATTTGGGTTCATTATTACTTGCTATTTTTTGAGAATGCGAAAAAACAAAAAAATTTAAATTTGAAACCCTTGATCTGAGTTATGAAGCGATTTACGACTTATGTTTACACTTCTTTATTCAAAATCATGTTTTCTATCAAGTGTTAAAATGAATATATGTAAAAGGGAAACATCCTGTATAAATACATGTATATTATGGAATGCTTATAATACAGGTTGCTTCGTATAATGTGAAAATATATTTCCTTGTATCGATTAATGATATATACTGTACATAGAGAATCGCTTATTTCACTTTGACAGTAATGACAATTTTCAGGACTGATGAACAAATCATTATGGAAATATTTGTTGCGGGCTAGGTCCTAGACTGACATCACTAGAAAAATTCCAGGAAGGTGTATTTTTTTTCGATAACAAGTATGTATAGATGATGAAACAAACACAAAGCTATAAAATTATTCTGAATTGTTACCAAAGATAAATGAGAAAAATGGTAAATTTAGTAGAAATTGCTAATCCAGAGCTGCTTCAAGAAATAGTATTGAGAAAAAAAAATTTACTCTTCTCTGTGGCTGTTTCTATTGAATATGCTGATATAACAATATACTTATTTCTTAAAATATCTATGTGTGTTCCAAGAATTAAGTGAAAATAATTTTCATCTATATTCTACACTGTTATTCTGTAGTCCAGTTGATCTACACATTGAATTTTAATTTCAATCTCTTTTAAAACAATAAAACATTGATAGAATATTAACAAAAGTTATAAAATAAACTAAAATATCTTAAAAAACAACAAATTTCAAATTTATAATTAGAGTTGTGATTTGTTTAGGTCATAGTACAAATAAAGCAAACAAAAACATGTATAAAAACAGTTTTCAAACGTCTAAAAATGTTTGTGCAAATGCATCTCTGTTTCTTGTCCATCCAGGACAAAAAATAAGTTTCCAATAATAGTGTAGACATCTTTGTTTACAAACATGGGCAAAATCCTCAAATGTGTTGAAATCGGTAAGTGTCATTCTTAACAATTTTCGGATTCAGCATAGTAATTTTTTTTTCATCTCAAAAAATTTTCAGGATGTGCTCTATCTTGAAAAATATCATTCTGTCTTTTATTTCTCCTTGAATTTTATTTCTTGAAATATACATTGAATAATATACATTCAGTTTCGTTTATAGGTAAATGTTTTTTTTGTATTGGACTGGACTAAGCTTTAAATGTGCCAAGTACAAGAAAAAAGTATTTGAGTATAATTGCTTTCTATTTTGCAAAGTAATTAATTACAAATTTTGGTATATGACCGTACTGCAATTTTTTATTTAAAGTTAAATAAAATTTGTGATATCAAATAATTTTATATTTCTAAAAAAAAATTATATAAAAAATTAAAAACAATAAATACACATAAAATAACGGAAATATATATTCCTTACTATGTACATGTAAACACTAAAAATAATATTGCAGTTGTACTGTTACATAGGGTTCGGCAGTGAGGCGTAATGTTTTTGGTTTAATAATGGCAGTGGAGGGAATAACAGTTACGGAACAAATGTCATACTCCTTAGAAACCATTTCAGTAGCCATGACACCAAGGATGCTAAAACATTGTTTGTTTGCTTATGACACATTTATTGAACCTGGTCATTCTGTAGTGCTTACATCTGTCCAGATATGAGACAGATCAGCTCATTGAATTCTGCTACCTGAAAGCTAAGGTCTACACAGGAAAACACTCTGGAGACTCTTAGAGAAATTTGAGTAATTCCTTTTGGCATGTTTGAAAGTTGTACGTATGCATTTATCACCCGCTTTGAAAAATGCCACCTGAATTACATTTGTTTTCTTCTGGCATCTGAACATTTGTGTTATCTTTAATGGCATTAAGTATATATGTAGGTTTTGGAAAAAATAAAAATTGAAGTCTGTTACATATTAACTGTTTTAGTTTTTTTGAAAAGTGGCGCCTCTGCTTTACCCTGTGACTGTACCTAACTCAAACCATTTTACTTATACTGTAATGAATTGACAAAAATGGTGAAATATGTATTTACTTACCTACCTCTTATAAAACATATGAAAATGTCACTTATTACAATATGTTTGCTACTTGTTCAAACTGGCTAAAATAATGTTTTTTATAAAAGTAATTTAATTGTAAAAGTATTTATACATACGAGGTATAACCACAAAGTAAGAGTACTGAGACTCTGATACTCTGGTTTTTGTTTTCAACAAAGTTGGCAAGACGCATTTAAGGCCAAGGTGTAGAGAAAAGAACGCATATTAATTGGTCTGAGTCAGTTGAGAACTGTTGTAGTGGTGTGTTGAAATGAGTGGCTATTCTAAATCCCGCTTTACAAAGGGAAAGGCGCCTTTCTAGACTTAATGAAATCAAAACTGTGTGATGAATTATACTAATGTATACAAGTGGGGTAGAGTGTGTATAAAGCTGGTAGAACGAATGTTCATGATGAACAAAGGAGTGGGCATCTCTCAATCGTGACTAATGAGATGGTCAACAATATCGAATACTTGCTTGCTTCGTGGCATTGACTTTACATGGGATAAACACATTGTTTTCAGAAATCTCCAGATCTATTCTGCATGAAAACATTACTGAAATTCTTGGCTATAGAAAATTGTGTACGAAGTAGGTACCAAAACAACTCACGGATCAACACAAAGCCAACAGAATTGCATCTTCACGGTAATTTCTCAAGCGCTTCAAACTGGAGTGCACAATTTCTTGACTGCTCTGTGACTGGCGACAAAACGTAAGTGGCACACTACACCCCTGAAACGAAAAGACAATCAATGCAGTTGTGATATCCATGTGTTGTTTCAGCCCAAAAAATAATGGCAGCTGTTTTTTGCGGCCGTAAATGGATTCTCATTGACTCTTTTGCCCAGGGGGAAACAATTAATGCTGCGTGGTACTATGAAACCCTGAAAACATTACACGAGGGTGATATAGAACAAAAGAAGGGAAATGTTAATGAAGTGTGCTTGTTGCATGACAGTGCACCTCCCCACACAGCCAATGCTACAAAGTAACTCTTGGATTCATTTGGTTGGAACATCATCAATCACTCTGCTCACAGCCCTGACCTGGCACCTTCTCATTTTTATCTTTTTTTCTAAGGATGTTTATGGGTGGAAAAAGGTTTTTCTACTGATTGTGAGGTCCACAGTGCCGTGAAACAATGGGTCCGAGCGACGACGGGAGATTTTTATAACGAAGGTATCAGAAAGTTGATCCCTTGGCTTACAAAGTGAAGGCAACTACGTCAAAAAATAGTGTTTGATGTACCTTTCCGAATATGTAAATTTTTCGTAAATATACTGCCTTTCCGATTTTTAAAAAATTGAGTGTTCTTACTTTGTGGATATGCCTCATAAATACAAAATACTTACACTTACATTTATTCAGTTTTAATTAATTACAAATATAATTACTCGTAAAATTTAAATGTATTTAATTACAGTTACAAGTACAAAACAAGTAAAATACTTTTCATAAGTACCACAGGCACAGATCTGCTTTAAATATACAAATGTTACCTTCCAAACTTTTATAATTGCTATGACCTTGTAAGATAGTTTAGCTTATTCCACATAATGCATGCTATTTGAAAATTTTATGAGTGTAACACTATCAATAATAATTTATTTACGTCATTTATGTCACTCTAATATTCTCACTTGGGAAGTGGCCTAATTATGGGCACATAAGAAATGGAGCAGTATATGATCCTGATTTTGATTTTTTAAATCTACAAAAATTAAAATATGTAATATAGAATTATCTGGTGGTGAATGACGGAAAGTATAACATAGGCATTGTTGCTATTCATGTGAGATGAGTTACTGTGATCATTTTAAAATGGGTGTAACTGAGATGAAAACATATAATTTGCAATAAAATCGGACTGTCCCTGCATGTATAGAAGAGTACAGGAGTAGAATGATCTGTACTCAAATTATTTTTGTTAAAAGGGAACTGATGACAATGTTTGCGTTTAAACATATATTTAAGTTTGTCATCCCCAATTACAATTCATTTCATTAACTGTTTACTATAAATACTTTTAAATTTATCAATAATTATCAAGCCGTCTCTGTAATGACCTAAAGAAGTCACAAGTTTAGTTAAATTATGTTTAAAAAACCATCTAGTTTAGGATAATCATTTTAATACAATGAAAAAAACCATTATAGATAATTATCCAAAAAATCGGTAACTGTGATTTTTAGACGGTTGTCATTTAAGTTATTTTGATAAACATCTTTTTTTATAAAATTAAATAATAAAAAATAATTTATTTTGACTTATTATATGCATTTAACATTGGATTTCCATTAGAAATTTAATTGGATGAAATGCATTTATAATTTTTTCAAATCGATTAAAGATCTTTGTTAGTTTAGAAAAATATTACATACAATTATTTATTTTATAGATTTTATATCCATGGCTGAAGGGAATGAATTTTACATAAAAATATATAATTTTTTGGAATTTTAGAAGTGTAATTTTTTTATCGTAGATGGGGAAGATAATAAAATCACAGGAGCAAAGAATTGTTAGAAAGAAAATAAGAGCCAATATGTTTAAAATATTTCCAATATGTTGAACATTGAAGCTGGTGAGGATATCTGGCTGAAAAAAAGTAAGTCTCGTATCGGAGTTGTGCCCATGTAGGCTAATAAGAGATAATTAACATATACATAATTCTGAATTTTTTGAGTATCTTATTACATTACTGTCTTATTTGGAACTCATTTTGTTATCAATATTTTATTTGATTATATAAAGATATATTTTTGATGAATTATTGCCCATTTGAAGAAACTAATGTCTTATTCTCTTCAACACTTACAGATATCATTAATATCCCTTCTATTTGTATAATTAAAATCATAGATACTCAGTGGAATATGCAGGTAGGTGTGTACATACCGTAATTGCAGTTGCTTGTGAAAAATAATATGCCTAATAATAATACTTTAACTAGATTTTAGGTGGCTCTTTGATCTTTTTTTAAGTGATATAAGATTTGGAGTTATGATTTTTAATATACATATGAATGTTTTAGTTATTAGGTAATAAGATTATAGCTGATATGTGATTCTGAAGAAACATATTTATGTTAAAATTATTATCATTAGTAGTATGATCATAAATTTTATGTCAGCAATAATTTCTTTTTAAATATATTTTTTTGTCGATTTTTTAATTGATTTCGAGTTTTTTTTGACACTATTTTTTTTTCATTTCACAAGGGTATAAAAATCGTGTACTTAATTTATATTTATTTGAGTAAATTATTTACTTTTGGTAGTTACCTAGAATGGTTTACTTCAAAGATTTTATGTTTTAATTTATAGCTTTGGATAAAATAGGAATATTTTATAGTAAACAATTGTTGCCATCAATTTGTTTTCACTAATCTTTTAAAATGCATAATAGTGTAGATATTGTAACTAAAAGAGCTGTACCTTTTTCCAGATGTATACTTCTGGTAGATTGAATATATTTTAAACTTCGTAAAATATAAAATATTAGTAATCAAAAATATTTTTGACTTGATTTAGTCTACCCGATATGAACATTCTATTGTTGGCTGGATAAAAAAATATTCAGTTTAAAATATGTAAAATATTTGAAACTTTAATGTTGTACAACTGTTACCTACTTTTCAAATTTTTGTGGTGTCATATAATAGAGTCGTTTATTTAGGTGAAATTTTGTACAGAGTGTCCTGAAAGTAGCCTGCAATATTTTACCAGTAAAATCTACAATTAAAAATAACGGAGAAAGTTTAAGAACATTGGCAAATAAATGTTTCCTAATAGGCCATAATCCTTAATAATGAGCTCCTGAAAGTTGTTGATCGTAAGTCATGGAAAACAGGAGTGTAAATTATTTATAAATATTGAATTTGAACGTAGCAATCTTGTATAAAATAAGTTTAGGCATTTAAAATGTATACTACTATCTATGAATGGAGGTTTTCAACCATTTATGGACATTCTAAGGATGTCCCTGATGTATAGAAAATGTGCGTATAGTGCAGAGGTCGGCAAGTAATTTTAGGTGGGGTCCGGATACTTTTGAAAATTTTTAACGAAGTCCACAAAAAAAAACATTCCTTAGTCACTTTTTATTTTAATTTGCACTTACAAATTTAGTCTACCTACTAACCATTATGAACTCAAATCAATCACGTAATTTTAGTGGAAATGATAAGGGTGGCACTCAAACGCATTATTATCAATAGAAAACTATTTTTTAAATAATTTAATTAATTTATACTTTCAAAAAATTTTTGGGAGTCCATTATTTTACCTTCCACGGTCCGGATCTGGACCGCGGTCCGCTAGTTGCCGACCCTTGGTATAGTGGATGTCCCATAGTGGAAGTTTTATTAAAACTTAGTTACATTTTTTTATAAGAAATAAAAGATACTGCACACTTAAACAAAAAATATTTTCTACAAATAGTAAATGTACTTGAAAAGGTCTAGAAAAAAAGAGAGTGTATATGTGGTAATGTATATATACATTGGAGTTGATAGAAAATATAAGAAAATGTTTTAATTAAGTATTTTCTTTATATCTGCCATTAGGTATCCATAATCGGTTAAAGGTTATGGCTTAAGGACTATTTCTGGTTTTTTTTATGGATATTATTTTTTATTCCTATTTCTGCAGCGACTTACAAATTGTTATCTCTGGTATATTTATCATATTAATTTAATATTTATAGTAAGCAGAAAAGCTGGAAATTAATCATGTTCATAATGAACAGTAATACATTTTTTGCCGATCGACATTAGAGGGTAAGTTTAGTGACAGCTGTCAGGCACTAAAGTGTCACAGTTAACAACTGATTTACGAGTTATGGACTCCTCAATGTAGCCTTCAGCTACCGTTAAAGATTTCCATCCACCATGCATTTTTAAAGTTGTGATATTAGCTCCTGAATATATTAATAGCGTAGCTGAAGTTCTACGGAAACAATGTGCGGTATATTCGTGAGCATCCTTCAATTTGAGGAACGCAGTAACTTGTTTTGGCATTTTCCCAAATGTATGAATTCCTATTACCTGGTTATATGCTTTATATTTGAATATTTAAGAAAAAAAATATTATTATTTATTTGTGTAGGTGTTGCGGAACTATATTTCCGATATAAGTACATATTCGCTTACAGTAAAGGATCTTTTTTTCTTTGATTTTGTAGTTGACAGAGTGATCAGCGATCTATTTCCCATATCTTCAATATCTCCAATTTTTATTTGAATTAATTCATCACATCCACATGCCTCACATCTGGCAAAAATCATTGCCACCTGAAATAATAATAGTCGGTATTTATCGTTTACAAAAATGTTTTGTTTATAATTACCTTTGTACCTAAACGCATATTTCAAAACTCATTATTTTTTAGCACGATATCAATCCGGTTGCTATTTCAAGAATGCTTTTAATTTTAGGTACTTTCCAATATCGATGTTGTAGTGTAGACATTCAAAGTAGCTCTAAGCATCGCATATATTGATCATAATGAAGATTTCATACTTTTGCTTAATTCGGAAAAATGTATCAATAGTACATTTTCTGAAAAAGAATGTTATTCTCAACCCAATAATCAAAAAATTTTTCATGTTTGCTGATACATCTTCGATTTTTCTGGTAAAAAATTACATTCGATTTGCTGAATCAATAATTTCTGGCGGAGTTAATGTGAATTCCTCCACCTCAAATAATAAATAGTTCTATCTAAATCTAAATTATTTACTTAATAACGCTCGTCTCATAGCAACCACAGACGACCTAATGAAATTATTATTCATGAAAGAAGTATCATACAATTTTAATAATATAAAATAAATATTTTTGTTTGCTATTATGATAAAATTAAAATTGATTGGCGAAAGAATTATGTGTTTAACTTGGCAGTAAAGTAGATTTAATGTCTTGACTTCTTTAATTGTCTCGGCTGCCCCTTGTCTATTAAATACCAGCTGCGGCATTAAATCTTGTACTTTACTGCCTAGTTAAACAAATAACTATTTGTTTCACTTTTTTATAACAGGTACTTAGAGATTCTAGATCAATTGTTTGGCAGCTTAATTTACGGTGCTAAAAAAACGTTTTAAAAAATGCAGGACAGTCTTATTTTTAGAAGACACACACAGTAAAGACTCAAATGAAGACAAAAGAAATGACAAATTATTTATTATTTGACTATAGAGACTTACCGTAAACATTGAATTTGAGTTTGTTTAGCAAGAGGAGGTACATGAGAGTAAGAGAGAATTTTTTTATTTATTAGAAAGTATGATGACTATAAATTTAGAGCTAAATTTTACAAACATTAATATACATGCTATTGTAAATTTAATTTTTTTAATGTCCTTTTTTATAACCTACAAGATAGGTATCTTGTAGGATTCCCAAACTTAAGTTCGAATGTACCTCCTTAGTTATTAGCACATTTTTATATTTTTTTAATTATTTTACTGGTCCTACAACGGACATCCAGCGTACATAATATTAAAGACAGTCCAAGTATCTCCTGTGTTCGACATCAACTAGACGTCCATACTAGACCTAAAATGGACGTTCTGTGGATGTCGGGTGCTATATGGGGAAACGTTCTAATGCATAAACTTCAGCATCTACATCATATATTTTGTACTTGTTTTTGTGCATAAAATGATTGAGAATCAAAAAATATGTGTTAAAACTAAAGCAGATTTAAAAAAAATGGGAAATAACTCTATGATGCTCGCCAAATACTGGGCAGCGTCTGGAAATCGGCAATACCTAGTAGTAAGGTGTGGTTAATTCAGACATTCATTATTCAGTATTCAGCAAATAGGTACCTCATGTGTGGCACTTGTTTAGAAAAAGGTACCTACTAACTAATATTTGTGATATTTTTAGCCTTCTTTTATTTGTACAATGTATTCTAGAAAGGAGTGCTATAATTTTAGCCACGAACTTGTCAAAAGCAACAACTTTTGTCTGATAATTTTTTTATGTCTTACCTGTTTGTCCTTATTTTTTACTATTAAAATAATACTATAGAGTCACCTATGGATTAAAGAAATATAGAAATAAATAAAAATATATGAAATTAAATATAAAAGAAATATCTAACATGTGATTTTATACAATAGTTCACTATCTTAAAGATTTTTAGTAGACTGTGTCAAGAGTAAGATGCGCAGTTATAATTGTGCATTATGTACTGGATTTTACAGATAGCAAATACTTGAATGATTCTAAAGTTTGTAGGATTTGTCTTATACCAAGTAGGCAGATATTTGTTTATGTCGTTAATATTTGAGATTATATATTTTTTAAAGATGAACTTCATAATCATAGCAACCAGCAACCTAATTGTACTGCAAACCTTGAAGATGCACAAAAAGTACAGTTTGGAGGATTTTATAATATCAGATACCTGTACCGTGTGCAAAAAGTTCAGTTTTTACAGCCTCAGCATTTTCCATTATAAATAACATTTTTGTAACTGGGCATTGCGTAGATTCTCAGTAAATTTTGAGCTGGAATAGTAAATGAATAGCTCATTCATTCATTACATTATATCAGATAGATGGATTTACTGGATAATGTTCTGCTGGAAATTCGTCGAAACATACGGTATAGTTTTTCCGAAGTCAATTGAAGAAGCTATGATTTCAAGGTATGTACCAGGCTCGGTCGCTAAGTAGCAACTCGGCTTTGAAATATTTGAAAAACTTGTTCCCATATTTATTTAGCCATACCCATATATAGGTCTGATCGAACTAAACGTGCAGGTGGTAGAAATGTATACGACCAGTTGAAGAATTGGGCTTCTGGCAATAAATCACAGCAGGCGACAAGTAGATCATAAATTGCCCAGCAGTGCAGTGCTGCAGTGCTGCAGTGCGGAACTTGCTGTGAATCAGGCAATTTTAATTTATTATAGGCATCTTCTATCAATCATTCATTTTACAATTGTGAAAGGCAGAAATAAGAGGGATATTTTGTTTACTAATATTATCACAACGTGGCATTTTGGAGACCTTTTGAAACGGAACAAAACAAAATTTACCACCAATATAATTGTTTGAGGACATAAATAATTAAAATATGTTGTTGGCCAAATGAACATATAATAGAAATTTTCTACACATTATATGCAAATTATTATAACTTTTTACCTTTAGCGGAAAATTTTTTTAGGGACGCCTGTGAATCTATTTAAATTTTATTACCAGACGTTTTTTTGCATATTCAACTGACTTTGGAAGGACTATACCTTCATGATAACGTTTCTTGCTATAATGTCTAAATTATTCGAGATTAGTTAAGTCAGCAAATTTTCCAGTTGCATGACCTACCCAATTGCCAGATTTGATTCTAATGTAACTATTATGAGGTTGTTTGAAACAGATAGTGTATTCCACTTTAGTTAACACGATTGAAGAACTATGACATTGAATGTAGAATGCAGCCAAAATAAAAGCAACAATCTGGAAATCCTAGTAAGAGTGAAATAAAAACATTTTCAAAACTACAATTATGCTTTAACAATAATGGAGAACATTTTGAACATTTGTTGCAGCTTTTTTGTGAAATTTAGTAAAATAAGTGTGAACCTGCCGAAATAACGTTGATTTTCTTTTCAGTAAGTAAAAAGTTTGTAATTTTTTACTTTTGATCATTTTCTTCATAACTAATTTATAACAAATTTTTTTATTATTTTTCGATAGTAATCAAATTAATTCCATATCTTTTTGATTATTGTTCAATCAACTTCAATTTATGTTTCAATAGCGCATAGCAAAAATTTTAAATTCAAAAAAGTATTGGAAAAATGTTATTGCTTTGATGATTTAAAAATATATGGTTACAATTTTGGCACTTATTTCAGAGGCACTTATTACAAATTAAATATTTTTTTTTAGGTAAGATATTTTTTGTGTTTCTTCTGTAGGTATAAGTATTTTATTTGTTTATTAATCTTTCTTATTGCCATATTAATATTCATGTATTTTTCATTAATTTATACCAGTAATCCCATTTTTTATTGCTTGTTTCAGGTCCAGAGTCGTCATCTTTTATTTATATTTACATGGTTATTGAAAATAAAATCCATATATTTTATTAACTGAATACATTCTTTTTCACATAAAAAATAGATGTAAAAACCACCACAGGAAATGGCTTCAGAGTATTTAATTAATATGAGTATTTTGGATTACCTACCTTTAGCTTTTCTTTTTCATTCAGTGTTTACATAATTAGATATTTTAATTGAGATGATCTAGCATGAGTTGAAATTACTGCCGAATTTAGGTTTCTATGAGCAATTGGCTAAAAAAGTCAAATGAATCTCTAAAAAAATGATTATCCATATTTTTACAGGAAGCGAGGCCCATTTCATTTAATAAGGTCACTTTAAGCACAGTGTAACGGTAATGCTTGGCCAAACCTTAATAATAAATTAATAAAAATAGTTGCTATAAACATGTCCAGAATACAAGTTCTATAAAAAGATATATTTTAAGATTGGTAAAACTTATACAAAGTGTTTCACGAGGAAGTGCATACATTTTAAGGATACTTACTTTCCTCACGTAAACATAGCCAAAGAAGTTTATATGAACCAGAAATGCATCATTTTTGAGATATGAGCTTTCAAATAAAAAACAATATTTTTTTAAATATTTCAAATACAAGAACTTATGATACTAGTCATGACTTTCTTGTGAATTATTACTTCTGTCACTGTAACTTAAGTTTTTATGATGAAACCCTAGCTTGAGGAAACTTGGTGGTCAAATCTTTATTTTCCCATGTATCTTGACGCGCTGAACACGAAACTGAAGTCAGATTTGTCCCATAAGGTCACAAATCCTTTCTAACCTTAAAAAAAGCTTGAAAATCCATAAAATAAATTAGCTTCTATGATCCGGGTATGATTTAATAGCGACTGAAAATCGTGATCTGACCATTGTATTCCCTGGTATTTTGACCTGCTGAATCCGAATCCGATGTCAGAATCGCTCCAGCAAATCATCAGAATTTTCTAAGGTGAAAAAATAGTTTAAAATTGCTAATATTCTCGAATTTTACTGCAAATAATGCAAAAATATATTGTTCCCATGAATTCAGTGTTATCCATAGAGACCTCAACGCCTGATATGGAAATTTCTTGGGGCCCACTTAGAAACGAACAGAAAGGCTTTAAACCTAACATAGCCTAAAGCATTCAGTTATAATCCTTTCTGTGTTTAAGCATTTTTTGATGTTAGAAAATTCTGGTGATTTGTGGGGGCAGTTGTGACATTGGATTTGAATTCTGCCGCACATGAGAATAATGTATTCTGGTCAAGACTTTTTTTGTGGAGCTGTGTTATTTTTAACGATATATTGGCAGTTTTTTTAATTTTTGTTATGAATTATATTAAAAAAATTGTTATTGCTTAAAATAGGATTTTGCTGTTCTTTATGAAGACATTAATCAGTCGTAATTAGATTTGAAGAAATGGGATCCCATAGTAATTAGATATTAAATTTACTTCAATTTTTATAAAACTGTTTATTAACATCTCATTTTTGACTCTTGATTAATATACTAATAACCACTACTAGTAATTGCTCAGTTTAACTAAATAAATTTTATTATTGAATTCACAAGTATGCCTGTATTTCCTGTGTGTGCGATATGGTGTTCTAAACGATGACAATTACATTAATTACAAAGGTTATTTTTAAATAAAAATTTTGATAGGTTTGGTAAGCAAAATGAGAATTTTACTTCCTTATTATTTACCTGCAAAATATAATGAAATTGTGTTTTATTTTTGGTATTGTAGAGAAAATTAATATTTGTCTAATAAATTTTGTATTTATTGTAGAATATTTTGAAAATAAAATTATTTAATTTAAAATGAGTTTTTGTTCAGATTTCCAAATTTGAAATTTCATTTTGAATTTTGAATACATTATCCTTTTAAATGTTAAACTTGTAGATTATAGCTAAATAGTACATATTTATTCAGGTATACTTGTGGAAAAAAATTGTAACAAACTGTTTATGAAGAAACCAGCTACAGCAAAGCAAGTCTGGGTATGAATAGCCCAAACAAGTGGGATAAAGTGCAATATGAGTAGTTCTACTGTAACATTGGCCCATCTTTGTATCTAGGCATTTTATTTTATCCAGGTGTTTATGGTATTTTATAACGAGTTTTTATAATAGTGTCCTATAATCTGTATAATGGTCAGAAACCAGAAACATACCGTCGAATGTCGAAAGTCGAATTTTTGCACACATTTGTGAAGTTATACCTTCACTTTTGAAAAGTGAAGTCATACCTTCACAGTCGAGGTTGAAAAATTGAAGCATAAGCACAGAACACATTCCTGTTAATGGTATTAATCCTCTAATTTTTCCCTTTACATGCCTATAGTTGGAAGGTATTTTTTTTAGATAAAATTTTTCAGAAAACATACTTTATTGCTTTATAATCACAGTATCAAAATGTTAGTTCAACCATAAAGAGGAAATTATATTAGATAGGTACCTACTTGATTTTTATTATAAATTTATCAAAAATTATTAACTTTAAAACTGAATGTGACTGGTTGTGACTTGTAATTGTTATTTCCCATCAATTTCATGAGATACATAATTCAAACATGTGGGCTAAGTTGAGCTAAAAATCGGTTTTAAAGGTAACAGTAAAAGGAAAATAAATCTTTAAAATTTTACGATTTAAAGTGAACAAATAAATTACATATTTATTGTGAACGACAATAAACGGACCCACTCGTCACTGGAAATAAAGAATATACAATGGCATTATAAAACAAAAAATAACATGGATGGAGCAGTACTATTGTGTTTGTTCCCATCTATTACTGTACAGACTGGCACATGCGCAGTAAACGACATATAAATGAAAGATAATAAATTGTAGATAATGTCCCAAGGATATTCTGACATATTCCAAAGAATATGTATGCTAACCAGACTTGTATAATGGGATATCCTCCTTATGTTGAAAAATAAAATACCCCATATACAGGGTGTCCCGTAAAGTATGTTACAAACTTTGGGTGGTGATAGTACATAAAAAAATATGACTAAAAACTCTAATAAACATAACCTCTTAAACGCACCGTTTTGAAGTTATAGGCCTTAAAAGGTGCAACTACAAAAGTAGTTTTTGTGACGTAACTCTTTGTTGGAAAAAGAAAACATAATGAAATTTTCAGGGACTAGTCAGCTTTAGGAAGCCAATAAATAATGTGGATATTAATAAAATTGAGAAAGCGGAAGGGTGTTTTTTTATCACCCTGTATCCTATTTTTTGCCAAAAAAAATTTTTCTGCAAAGATACAGCAAATATCATAAGATTTTTAGAAAGACCATTGAATTTAGAAATTTTTTTGTCTCTTGCATTTTTTATGTAAAATGATTAGTTTTCTAATAAATTTACAAAATGCAAAGGGAGTTTACTCACCGCTAGGTGTTAAATTTGACGTATTCAAAAAGTAGGCGCCTGTCACTTTTAACATAGTTGACATTTGTTACCATATTTTAATCGTGTCTGTTGACGAATTATTAATTTGTGAGTACAATGGCGGATAACAATCGTTTTACTAATCAAGAATATGCCGAAATGCATTTTATTTATGGATTATGTAATGGAAATGCAACAGCTGCTCGAAGTACATACATAGAACGTTATTCGCAGAGACGTCAGCCGTCTACACAATTATTTACTCGGATTCACAGACGGATTATTGAAACTGGTAGTGTGGTACCCCGTCACATACATTGTGGTAAAATTGCTAGAAGACTACCCGCGCAAGGTGAACAAATTTTGAGATCTTTTGAACAAAATCCGGAAGTGTGCGAAGGGCAGCTAATCAGTTACAGCTTTCCAGAATGTCAGTTTGGCGTGTTTTGAAGGAAAACGGCCTTTATGCCTACCATCTCCAAAAAGTGCAACATTTAATGCCTGAAGATCTTCCCCGACGCCTAGAATTCTGCCGAATAATACTTAACCATCACCAACATAATGTGGAATTTATTAGCTCCATTTTATTTACCGATGAAGCCACCTTTACACGAGATGGTTTACTGAACTTGCACAATGCACATGCATGGTCAGACGAAAATCCTCATGCTACCATTGATAGTCATCACCAACACCGATTCTCAGTCAACGTATGGGCTGGAATAATAGGTGACTATTTGCTCGGGCCTTTCTTTCTACCTCAAAGGCTTGATGCAGTAGAATATTTAAACTTCCTAGAAAACCATCTCCCTGAGTTAATGGAAAATGTTCCTTTAAATTTGAGACAATACATGTGGTACCTCCATGACGGGGCACCTGCGCATTTCAGTGTTCATGTTAGAGAGTATCTACATATGCGGTTTCCTAATCGATGGATTGGAAGAGGATATAATGCACCAATAGCCTGGCCACCGCGATCACCGGACTTGAATCCTGTCGATTTTTATCTTTGGGGACACGCGAAATCTCAAGTTTATGCAACCCCTGTTGATACAGAAGATCAACTTAGACTGCGAATTGTAGAAACCTTTAATTTAATAAGAAATAGTCTATTCATATTCCAAAGAGTCAGATTTAACTTTATAAAGAGACTGACAGCATGTATCGATGCAGAAGGAGGTCAATTTCAACATTTATTATAATAACATATTTTGTTTTAGTTCTGTTTTGGTTACTTAATTAAAAAAATTATTTTGGAAATTGATTGTATTCTTAAAAATTCACTAGGCTTAAGAAATGTATGTAAATAATTCGGAAGCACTCATCTCTCTGCATTTTGTAAATTTACTAGAAAACTAAACATTTTACATAAAAAACACAAGAGACAAAAAAATTTCTAAATTTAATGGTCTTTCTAAAAATCTTATGATACTTGCTGTACCTTTGCAGAAAAATTTTTTTTAGCAAAAAATAGGATACAGGGTGATAAAAAAACACCCTTCTGCTTTCTCGATTTTATTCATATCCGCATTATTTATTGATTTCCTAAAGCTGATTAGCCCCTGAAAATTTCATTAAGTTTTCTTTTTCCAACAAAGAGTTACGTCATAAAAACTACTTTTATAGTTGCACCTTTGAAGGTCTGTAACTTCAAAATGGTGTGTTTAAGAGGTTATGTTTATTAGAGTTTTTAGTCATATTTTTTTATGTACAATCACCACCCAAAGTTTGTAACATACTTTACGGGACACCCTGTATAAGGAATGTCCCAAATACACTCTTAGAAGCCCCGGGATATGTGCCTTGAATAGGACATTAATGGGATATCCCGGGGATAACGTGCTATTTCGGTATACTGAAGCTTGAAAACATGGAAGGTGTTCGAGTGTTTTTTTTTTATGCAATAAACAAATACATATACTGAAAAAGCTGATTTCAGCTTGAAATGCTTTGTGCCTTCTACAATTCATTATATAAATGATCATTTGATATTGGAATCTTATAAACAAAGTCTTCATAAATTCCCAAAAATGAAAGACAGTCAAGCTGAAACCAAATATTTTGTCGAATCACAAGAGGCCACAATTGTTTTGTAAAGCGAAAATAGATTAAAAATTTCTGGGCATTTAATCAGTGATAAGAAACCCGGATTGAAAGAAAATTGTCAACTTGATCTGTTATGAATATTATTCTATTAAGCTTAAATGTTTACCACGTCAGAAAACAAAATATATCTTATAAAAATGGGATCTGTTCATTTCTTGGCATATCCAGTTGCAAGATATGCCTGCACTCTTTGCATATGTTAGAGGTATAATAATTGTTCTAAGAATTCAATGCACATGAGATTAATAATATATATATCACATAATTAATATCACCGCATTCATTATTCCTCATTTGATTAACTATTACTCTGGTACTTTGGGTGTTCAACCATTTGCAAAATATGCTCATTTTGTTTTGGTCAATACTTACATGGCCTTCCACATTGACCCACGCATAAAATTTATGTAAAGTACATTTTTTTTATAAAATAGAATTATCCTTCGCCTTTCTACATTTGTAGTTGTGTAAAGTGAAAAGTTGAAAAGTACTTTTAAAAAATGGGCCTCTGGTATAATACAACTATTTTATGAGTACATTCATTTTATCCTTATAAAAATTAGCAGATATTTGTAAATTACAAAAAATTATCCATGTATGAGTCAGACGCAGTTCATATTATCTGGCTAAACATCAAATTGAATAGAGTTACAGGTTGTAAAGAAAATATTATACATTTCTGAAAAATAGTTTAATGTGTCAAACAAACTTTACAAAATCATACTTATTTTAAAAATCACACCTATTCAACTTATAAAAAATTCAAGGTCGTGTTTTCTTTTTCTCGTTTGTTTTAATATTTTTTTACAGTTGCTTTCAAACAAGCTATCATGAAATTGTATTACTTTTGGCCTAGACTTTGGTTGTGCCTTTTTTGGAATAGGTACAGCTGGATTGAAGGCCATTTCTGACATATTGAATTCAGAGTAAAGTTGCTCAGCTGACCTAAAGAAAAAATAATCATTTCACATTTGCTCTATTCTGAGGTTTCTTGTGATTTTCTAAACATTTTAAATTTATTATACCATTTTCTTTTGTTTGCTTTTGATCGACCCAAAGTATTTATTTATCTTTTATTATTATATAAAAGTAAAGAGGAAAATTATGACTCGGGGAGTGTAAAAGAAAACTACAACCAAAAGTGATAGGGTGTCATTCATTAATCACGTGAGGTCCAAATAGGGGAGGGGGGGCGTTGTTGTTACATATCACGTGTATATTTTCGCGCAACCATGCCCGAGAATGCCTTGCTGTGAGCTGCGATATGACATCACGATAAGTAACGCGCAATTGACGTGGTCGATCTTTGTAAGATCGTCTGTCGCCCTGCCAGCGCTGGCTGACAACCGCCGCTGTTTTTTTATTGATTTTCATAAAAAAATATTCTGAAAATATTGAATTTTTTTTTTTTAAATACACGTGATGTTAGATAGGGGGGGTTATATTACAACCTCACCACGTATCACCAGAGGGGAGGGAGGGTGTAAAAAACTGGCTTAAAAACCTCACTTGATTAATGGACGACCCCTAGTGTGTTTATATATAAACATATACTTTTTTTATATAAATCCTGATTTGATATTTTCTGATATAATTTGATAAATTTAAATCGCAAAGGAAAACACACCTCACCGGAATAAAAGAAATATATTTTCAGTTGAAAATAAAAAATTAAAACTATGCAGTTAACAATTTTTTTACCAGAGTAAAAGAAAAGGAAATTTACTGCATTTTTTCCCTAAAAAATTACTAGTCTGTTAATATAAAATTGTCTTTCAGTATTAAACAATAGTTTATCTGGATATCGCTTGTGAAATAAATTTTGTATAAAATCATTTAATTGCCATTTAAAAAAAATATAAAACAGACAGTTGTGACATAAGAGATTATCTTTTAATTGTGTTATCTACTGATAGAAAGTACAATCAAAATCTCACACCATTAATGTCGTGTTATTTCCTACATTATAATTTTTGATGATGATGGCACACTAATTGAATAAAAATACTTGAAATTGAATTAAAATTTATATATGGCAGAATTTCTTGTAAGGTTCGCATTAGCTTTCAGTGCATAGAAATCAGTAAGAGAACAGTAAACATTTTTTTACTGCAAACCCCATTGTTTATTGAGAATAAAGATGCCAACAAAAACAAGGATGTTGCTACCCGTCTTGATTTGCACTACTTAAAGGAAGCTTGTTTATTACATGAAAACGAAAAACTAAAAATGATTTTCCACAAAATAACCAAAAATGAAATAATGAACAGCTTCAGTAACCATATAGAGAAACATATACAGGGTGGTCCGAATTTTATGCAGGAAACTTTGAGGGCAGATAGATCTCTTTAAAATAATGTCTTTGCCTTATAAACATAGGTCTGGAACGGCACCGTTTTAGAGATACAGGATGTTGAAGTTGTCAAAAAAAATTGATTTTTTGTTTATATCTCCGGAATCTATTAACCGATCTTAATAAAGTTTGGTACGTACAATGTATGATAGTAGTCCTTATATTCCCAGAAATATGAGCTTTAAAGCTTCAACCAGTGGTGTACAACTGGACAGGGATCACCCCTTTTTTTACAAAAAAACCTATGCCACTGCATTTTTTACATGTCATGTAACTGATTTATATTTTAATGCACAAAATACGTAAAAATGGTGACTTTAATTTTTTCCCTAAGATTCGCCGTTCTCAGGTTATTCATACCAATACAATCCCCTTGTGGCAGACACTTCTAACGATAATATTACAAGAATATTTGTTTACGTTTAAAAGTAAGTGCAATTTGTAAGCACATCAACAAAATTATTTGCACTCCTTTCTACACCACCTGTGAGGTAGTGTACGATATAAACAAATAATCATTTTTTTTTAAAACCTCAACACCCTATATCTCTAAAACGGGGCCGTTCCAGACCTATGTTTATAAGGCAAACACATATTATTTTAAAGAGATCTATCTACCCTCGAAGTATCCCGCATAAAATTTGGACCACCTCGTATATAGGATGATTCAGTCATATTATTAATTTTAAGGAAAAAAAATAATTTCAAATCATTTAAGACCCTTTTCAAACTGCTCTTGACGCTGACCTACAAAGGTTTATCCAGAATGAATCTTGACCTACTGTAATATGTGGTCATTAACCCAGCTTTTAATGCCTTTTTAATACATAGGGAGCTACATAGAATAAAGACAGCTTTTTAACTAGACACATGAATGAATAGGATATTTTTTACATTTTAAATATTAACAAGTATTATTTATTTGTTAATAGAAACAAATGTATGAGGATAACAATTGTTTTCAAATGTTAGGTTATACAATTTAGTATTTTTAAAATTAATTTATTCACTATGTTTTATAATCGAATAAGAATTTTTAGTACATATTACATATATATGTTCAATTATATTAATTATTCAGTTTGTAGTATGTATACCTTATTGTGCGACTCATTGCTATTCACTGAGTATAGCACCTACTTATTTAAAATGACATTAAGGCTAAAAAACACTAATTCGCCCACAGCTTTGTTATTAAAGTTTTAGGATCAGCTTCACTTTGATTTTGAAACCAATTGCAAAATTCTAGAGGATTCGGTAAAACTTAGCTGTCTCTTCGATCTTCGAACATTCGAAGTTCGACGATGTGTTCTGTGTAGAGAAGTAAAGCGCCGAATTAACGAGACTTAAGTGATAATTTGCTTATTTTTTAAAAGGTCGGGTAAATTTTTTTTTTTTCGATTTTCTGTCTTAGGCCTTCCAAATACGTGATTAAAATTAATGACATTACGACTGAACCATCCTGTATATTCTATGATACTTTAAAATGCCTTCTTACCATTTTGCATATTCTCCAGGTAAACTGCCCTCACCGGTAGCTACTGCACCGTTTGCAATATTTCTTGCAAATCGATTTACAATTGGATGATAATGTTTTGTTAAAAGTATCATCTCATAGAGAGCAGTGCTAGAAGCATTTGCATATTCTGGATCATCTATTTCTGCTTGGAATTTTCCTTCACCTACCGATGTGTCTAAATCCAATAATACATCAACATTCCTATTTAACTGCATAATATTCCTAATTATTCCTAAACAACCTAAGTTACCATCATGTAACAGCTGCAAACTTAATGTTGCTATTCTTTTGACAAAACCGATTGTTCTTTTATTTGTAATTTTTTTCCTCCGTTTTATCAGGGCATCATTTAAAGTTCGCAAGAGGATTTCAATATGATCCGATTTTTTTGAAGAAGCAGTGGTAGTAAGCAAATCTTTATAAAGATTATTATAAAATCGCGTGGGATCTATATTAAGTGCTTCTCCCTGGCCGCTTAATATTGCAAAAACTGTTTGAATGCAGTGCAGTTGTTCTCTATAACCCAGCCAGTCCTCTTTTAGAAGGTTGTCAAGAACATTAACTAAATCCATATAAAAATCTAAGTTAATGCAGTGTGCATACCTGAAAATATTAAGATTTAAATATTTTATAAAATATTTATTCGGTAGCATAAAATGTTCCTGTGTAGCTACTAATAGTGTTTTTCTGTCATAAAATGAAAGCATATAGAAATACTAGACGATAAGTTTACAATGTTTCTATATATTTTTATATACATTACTCATTGTTTGCTAATTACTTGGTAGGTAAGTTCCATGTTGCGAATACCCAGTTTTAATTCTCTGTCACATACACCAAACATATGAGGATACAAAAATTTCTAGTAGTTATTAACCACAGATTCTTTGGATGAAAATACAACCTATGCCATTTTAGCTTTATGCGCCACTCAAGATACAAGGTGTTAAAATTTAAGATTAAAAAAAAGTTTAATTTCTAATATACTTGAAATTTTTCTTTAGAATAATTCATCATTTGAGGCATTAATTTTGAACTTTTTTCAAAGTAAATTACTTACCATAAACATTTCAAAAACACATTTTATGCTATACCTAAACAAAATGTACCTATAATGTTCTTTCAGTAAATTATATAGTGATAATACTTTTAAAATAAAGTCTATCGACCAAGTTAAATATTTGGGTGTTTATATTAACTGTCATCTGAGATGGAGTTTTCATCTTAATAATGTCATGAAAAAATTAAGATATCCTGCAAATATTTAAAAACATGAAAAATATGTGTGATATGAAACAGTTGCACATTGTGTATTATGGGCTTGTACAATGTCGTATAACATATGGTTTAGTATCATGGGGAGGCGTTACAAATAACTATTTAAGACCATTAGAAAGCGTACAAAAACGCATAACTAAAATCATTTATGGCTTACTTTTGTTAACTCAAATGGAGGAGTTATATAATAGATCATAATTAGCAATTGTTTTACCATAATAAATTTATGTAAAAAAAGGCAATTGGTATAAAAATCATAATTATGATACTAGACATAAAGAACATAAGGTACAGGGGCATAAATCTAATAAAACAGTTGGGCAATGGAGCTATGAATATCTTAATACAAGAATATATAATCAACTGCCATCTAATTTAAAATATATAAATTCTTACTCACTATTTAAGAGAAAACTCGAAATATGGATTTAAGGCCAGTCAAGATATTTTATACATCAATCAATAGATGCATAAGTGTTATATTGTATTTCTAACTATTTTATTTGTAATTATTTACACTGTATTTGTAATTATTGTTCAAGTATAGGTATAATTAAACCGAAATATTTTTAATAAGATGGAATGTAAATCACTAACTAAAGTTTTATTTATAGTTTATTTTATAGTAAAAAATTCATTGTATTACCATACTGTAAAATGTATGTTTTGGTAAATAAAATTATTATTATTATTATTATTATTATTATTATTATTATTATTATTATTAACTAGTTTTTTAACAGATAATTGCAATTTTTTGTAAAAACAATATTTTATAATAAACTGTTTACTTTAAGTAAAGGGAAAGCTATAGCACAGTTGTAGAGAATTTAATTCTACATCCCACGGTATAAAAATATACAGGCTTTTGCACAATTTTACAAAATTTTTAAATTTTCTTGACATGTTTGACGTCACATTCTTGGGGCCCTGTAGAACTTAACCAACTTTTGGAGCAGAGTTTGAAGTTTGAAAGAACTACTATTGCTAAACATTTGCCCAAAATCATTTAGCATATGACTGTTATAATAAAGTAGTTTTATCTCTTGCTGCATAATATACTATTTTTAAGTTTTAACTTTAATATACTTTCTAGAAAAAGAGGCATCTAGATAAAATGTGGCATGGTCTCATTATTTTCACATAAAGAATTAGTGTTATCAGCTTAACATACTTTTTTGTAATACCCTGTATATGATTTAAAATTATAGGGTACTAATAAAAATGGTACTCACTTTGCCAATCCTTCTAAACAAACACCAAGGACTTTGGTGTTGTTGGAATTTTTTAAAATCCTAAAATAGATATTGAAAACAATTTTTGTAATTTCTGTTAAATTTTTATGTTTTGCTTGTTTGTTTTCTTCTGCTTTGGTTTCCAACAACTCTTTTTCTACCTCTTTCAACTTTTTTGTTCGCTACGGAATTATTACAAATAAATTTCATCAATTTACTTAAAAATATTCATATATTACCTTCCTTTCTTTCTTTGACATCTGCAGTATTCTGGACTTGTGAGCTAATAACTTTTTCTGTTTAATGTCTTGTTCTTTTTCTTTATCTAAATTTACATCTTTTAAGTTCAAAATAAGTAGGACTTCTAACATGTCAGGATATATATGATTATGATTTTTCAGATAATTGTTAATAATTCTTAACAACTAAAAATTAAAGGCACATTATTTTTAAACATTAAAATAAATATTTATTTTACCTTTAAAGTTATTTCTTCCTTTTTATCCTCTTTCATAACAGTTTTTATACTTGACTTAACAGCTTCTCTAACTATTTTATTATGACTGTTTAAGAAAGGCACCACAGCTTGGGCTATATTTTGTGAAAAATTAAAATATGGATGTGCAACTAACAGTTCACACATGGCTTGAACTGCTAAAACACTCAGTTTAGTTTCTTCCTACAAAATATTTATTTGCTTTCTAAATGTGTATCTACAAATTCTATTATAAACAAGGCTCATGTTAATGTATTGAAGGATAATTTATCTTATAAAAGGAAATGTGTATTCAATTAAAGAGTAGTAACGGCTGGTGAAAATTAAAGTGGTAACATTTTGATAATGAACCAATGGTTAATTCTGTTTCAAATTAACCATTTGGTTATGATGAACCAAATGCACTACCAGTTTATTTGAGTATTATATTGTGGAAAAAATTATGTTAAAATAATCAACGAAGGGTTATTTTTATGAACCAATTTTTGCCTAATAAAAATCTCATTCATAAAAGTAAATAAAAAATACTGTATCGTTTGATTTACATACGTAATTTATTTTTCAAAAATGTTTTATTTTTGTTTTCAAATCTACAATTGTTTGTTTTTAATTAATGTTGCCAAATTATATTGAAACTATAGTAATATATTTTTTCATGTTAATATTTTTAAATTTAAAGTTTTATGTCAGCAATGAGCTTCTCCTTCGTTTTTCTCAAAAAATGTACATCTTATCGATTTTCAACTAGTATACCTATTTTTTGTATATCCTTTAGGGTTTCAGGATGATCAAGAAAATTTAGCTTCAAGATATTTTTCCTTCAGATATATCCTTCAAATTAGCTGTATCCACCTGCTAGTGGGAATAAATTGATTTGCACATTTTTCAAAGTAATAACTTCAACACCCCGTATCTCGGAAACGTAATGTTAATAAGAAAAACGTTTTTCCAAGAGGAACTAACCTGCCTAATACCATTTTTTAAGTATAAACGGCACACCCTGTATGTGTATAGGCTATAAATTTTGAAAGTGTGACAAATGTTCGGTTGTGACCACTGGACCAGGGGTTGTGTAGGTTGAACCTTTCTGCATCGAACAGAAGTGATCTGGACATTCTACGATTACGAGAGTGGTAATGGGGAGGAAAATGGTGAACCTCTACATTTTGACTATTTTTGATAGCACTGTCGATGATTAAGTGTGCTATGGCATGAAAATTAAGTTTTCCAAGGCCTGTAGGATCGGCGGCAAATTTTGAAAAAACTTTGAGGTTAAATTTTGATTCTTGTATTTTTTTTGCGAGTAGCAGCATCTTTTTTCGTGTTCTACAGTAAAAGTAGATCTAATGTGTTAAAAATGTGAAAATTTACAATATCATTGAACCTTCAAGGGCTGTGGTGCCTTAGAAATTTACTATCTGGAACTGACACTTCACAAAAGCTTATTTCAAGCATAAATATACACCTATATAAATTTTCAGCAAAATGGGGGATGATTAAGTGGAAACGATTTTCAAAACTGGTTCATTTAACATGGAATGACCCTTCTGTTTATCTAGTAAATGAATTTATAAAACTAATGACTAACATTAAATGTTTCAAAAGAAAAATGGCACTAATGAAAACAGTTATTTGCCATATAATAAAATCACAGACAGCTAGGGTTCCCAACCATTCCAGTTTGGCTGGGATTAACCAGGAATCGGAAAGTTTGTCCCGGCAAGTTTTGCCTTGGCCGGGACATAAAAAATCCCGGAAATCCTTAATATTCAGAAATTTTCTTGTACCGCCGCGCTGTGTCCTGTTTCAAAGCTTTTAGTTGTGATTGGTTGACCTTGTCATGACGTCCAATTAAAGTTAAAAGCTTCAAAGCGCCATTGTCGCCAAAATACGCCTCTGGTGTCTGGTGCGATGCGATGGTGGGGGGTGGGTGCGAATGATTTCGCGACGGGTTAAATAGTGATAAAAAGTCCTCAGTAGCTACGCACCTTTGACCTTAGAAGATTCAGTCTGACTTTAGCAGCTGGCTTATTTTTCTTCTCGGCAATCTCGATCTCGGCAGTTACTGCCGACTGCCGGGCAGTTCAGGTAAATCAAAGTTATTTGTAACATTAAGCATTTTGTTTTAATACATAATTTATAATTTCTGTTTATTAGGTTTTACTGATAAAACGTAAAATGGAAGAAAATGAAGCTCCCCATTCCTCTCAAAAAAAGCAAATTAAGTGCTATTGTATAATTCAATTATTTGAAAATGTAAAAACAATTGTCCCATTGTCCCCGAATGGCTGATGCTCAAGTTGGGAACCCTACAGACAGCACATTTAAATTACTGTCACTACACTTTCTGAAATGACTATTACAAAGAACTAATAACTAGGGCTGTCAGAACTGAGCCGTGGAACATGGGCATACACATTATTTATTAAAAAGCAACAAATCAAATTGTCAATACACCACCATAAATACCAACGGATAAGAATTAATTACGCAACATACGCACGATAACAAATGCAACAGTATACTAACGTGGCGTGAACGTGAAAAGCATTCTGAGGCAGTAGATCAAGCATGACTTGATTGACCCACTTGACACGCCATTTGAATTGCGGCTCTCTCCGACAGCCTTAATAATAACACATTCTTATTGCTACTTACTTCTGTTCTTTTCCTAGAATCCCCTTTCTTTTTAATCAACTGAAAACAATATTTTTCCAGTTTTTGCAAAAACTTTTTATAGTACAATAAAAGGTTATTTTCAAATTTCTGTAACTTTAAAGTGTCCTTTTTTACTAAAAATAAAAAAATATATAATTAAATTTCTGATACGATAGTCCTATTGTTAACAGGAAGTAAGTTATTAAATTTCTAAGTGAGATTTTATATAAACCGTAAATTTTGAGTTTGTATACGAGTTTATTTTTTCTAAATTCTAAAGTTTTCTACTTACACTTAATTCCTTCATTATTAGTATGCTTAATTTCATATGATGGTAAAATATCTTTGAATACTTCTAACAAAGAAACTGTAACAAGTTTACGGATAGTCAGATATACTTCTGGTGTTTCATCATCCATGATATCGAGCAAAGTTTTTAAATTCATAATTTTCTCTTCAGGATTTTCTAGTAATCCAGAGCTAAGAGTGCCAATGTGTATTTTTTTCTGCCTTAGCACTTCATTTCTTACAGCTAACAATTGAGCTGCAGATATCGGTTTTGAAAGATCTACTCTTGAATCTTCCAAAGTATATTCTTCAGGAACTTCTAATTCAGTTTGTTCACTATCTTTTTCATTATCTTCAATTTCTGACGTTTCTTCTTTATCTTAAAACAACAAAAAAAAAACAATATTTCAATGGAAAATAATTATACAAATAAAAATAGAAGACAACTTTGATTAAGGGGTAGTCACTCCAAAATTTTGAAAAAAATCAATTTTTGGATAAATGGTTTAAGCAATGCTTTATTATATGAAGAATAAAGAAAAAAAGTTGTAGATGGCAAAATCGGGAACACGAGTTTTTTTGAGGTGGAGTGCAATCACTCGCAGTGTGCTGAAGGAGTGCTTTTTTAACTTGTGAGAAAACGCGCAATAGTTAGCTATTATAGAGGTCAGTTTGAGTTTCATTCTCAAAAAGTAAAGCAGCCCACATAAAAATTTCTAACAAAACATTAAATGTGCATAACAGAAAGGTTATAAATAATAAAATAATGAATAAATAAATATACCGAGTATTTTACTCATTTTTCCTTTTTTTTTTTTTTTTTTTTATAAATAATAAAATAATGAATAAATAAATATATCAAGTATTTTACTAATTTTTCCTTTTTTTTTCGATTGTACAATAGTTTTCACCACTAGATCCACTAATTTTTTATATGCAGTGTGCATTTCACAGACCAAATGAAGTTTAGTTGGGGTATACATACCATTTATTTCTTCAAAAATTTGCTGAGGAATCACACCAGTTTTAGTCTTAATGGGTAACAAATTTTTTATTTTTTGACTTTTATTATTACTTTCTGCGAATTGTTCCTCATAATTATTTTCTAAAGTATCATCTTCATTTAGTTTTGGTTTTTTTGATTTGTTAACAGATGATCTAAAATAATAAAATGCTTATGTAAAAATAAGAATTGTTTATGATATAGTACCAATTTCAATAAAATTTGGATTGGCTTTTAAAACTTCACGAGCTATATCATTGCAAAATCGTTTCTTAAATTCAAAAGAATTTCCTTAGCCTACACCCAAATATTACTAAACTTAAAGTTATACCACTTTGTTATATAGGTATTTATATATTATATAAACTTAATAAATTTAAATGAAAATAGTAAATATCACATAAAAACTCGATGTTTTAACACATACTTAAAGTGAGTAAAGTACTTACTCTGCATATCGAACTTTATTAAATATTCTGTAAGAACGATTTGAAATTGCTTGTTTAAGGAAATCTATATCGTCCTTGTCTACCATTTGTAACATATCTTCTCCATTATCACTTTCTTCTGAATTCTCTTCATGTTGTACATTTTTGTTATGGGTTAAACATACAACTTGCTTCTTTCGCTTATTTTTCTTTATCAATCCTTGCTTTACAAGTTTGTTTTTCTTTTGATTATCCTTTTTTGATTTAGATATTTTTGTTTTCTATAAATTAGTAAAATTAAATATTACTAACTACGATTTTTTACTTCAGTACTTACTATAACCATTTTTATATATTATTTCTATCAAAACGCCACGATGCCGCTAATAATGGATCACGTTCTAAACATAACCTCATTTTTTAATGTTTTTGTCATATTTTTGTTTACTACCTACCATGGAAATGAAAATATTAGACCAATGACTGCTAAATCGTTAACAAATTATAGTTGTTTTCCTTTTACAACTTTTTGGTTCAGCTAAATTTCAATTTTTTAACATAATCTTAGCTGGACTAAATTTGAAAAAAAGGAACACGATTCGTTATAAGAAGTTACACTATCAGCAGCTAAGCTAACCCATATAAGTTCTTTTTTTATGAGTTAAATTTTGAGAAATTTTATACAAAAACATTTTGTGTTATAATTTTTTGGATGGTTTCAGTAATAGATATTAATGGATATAACAACCAACTAAAATATTAAAATTATTATTTTTAATTTTTACTGGAAAAAACTAATTAAATTTTGCTCGTATTTCAAAAATCAAGAATCAAAATTAAAACGAAAAGCTAAAGGAAATTAAGACATTTTCAGAATTAAGTTTAAAAGAAATACGTTTTAGTGATTAAATATATCAACTACCTATATTCGAATCAGAGATATGGAGTAGGGAGAATGAGCGTCAAGATGCGCAAACTTGTTAATAAAGGAGGTCGCCATTTTGAAGTCTTAGATACGAGGGGGTACAATATTACATTACCAGGTCAGTTCTAAAATTTCAAATTAGAAACGCACATAACTTTACATTAAATTTTGAAATGAAATATGAACTAACAAATACGTACTTTTGAAATTTTCAATTACATATGAATTATTTTTCATAATTTTCTAGGTATATCTGAATATTTATTATATAATAAAAAATTAAATTTTCATATATGCACTTCATAAAAAATATATTAAATACTATATTACTCAAGAACAACGGCTAGAGTTGTATCATAACTGCATAGGATATTATTACCTATCATATGTATAAATCTGCACACACTCCGACATTGTGCTTATCTTTTACATTGAATGATACTTTAATTATGTTATAACTATCTTGTTTCACAGAAGGTTCAACAGAGAATATTAATCACACCAATAATAAT